TCTTCTCCAGTTTGAAGAATCTTAGCACCCTCAGACTCTCCTCCTGTGTAAGATGCTCCAGTTCCTTGATTATCTTTGTCCCTGATCATCTCCAGTCCTTCCATGTCTCACTTGTTCCAGGGAGCCCAAAAGTGGACACACTCCTGATGAGGTCCCACCGGTGCCAAGCGGAAGAACCCCCTCCCTTGAGCTCTTGGCAAAGCTTATTCCCATTGCAGCCCAGGATACCATTAGCCTTCTTGGTCACACATGAGTGGCTCAGGGTCTGCTTGTTGTCCCCAGTCCCCCCAGGTCCTTCTCTGCAAGGATGCTTTCCTCCAGGCCAGTCCCCAGCCTGTCCCCAGCCTGTACCCAGCATGAGGTTATTCCTCCAGGTGGGGACTGACTTTGCACTTCCCTTTGAAGTTCCTGAGGTTTCTCTCTGCCCATTTCTCCAACCTGTTGAGATCCCCCTCAATGGCAGCACATCCACTGGCTGAATCAACCACTGCTTGTTTTGTACTGTCTGCAAATGTGTAGAGCAGAATGTAGCCCCTCATCCACGTCACTGATGAGCAGGTTGAACAGAGCTGGCCCCAGTACTGAGCCCAGGTTTCACCAATGGTGACTGGCCTCTAGCTGGACTTTATGCTTCTGATACCAATCCTTCACATAAGTGAGTGTTGAGCCCTCCTCACAGTCCATTTTATCTAGTCCATAGATCATCAGTTTGTCTGTAAAGATGTTATAGGAAACAATGTCCAAACCTTGTTAAGGTCAAGATAAACAGTAGCCACTGCTCTCCCCTCCTCTGCCAAGCTATTCACTTCATTGTAGAAAGCTATCAGGTTGGTCGAGCATGATGTCACCTTGATAAATCTGTACCGATTATTACGAATTAGCTTCTTGTCATTAGCCTCACATGTTTGGAAATTTCTTCCAGGAGGATGTACTCCACCACTTTGCCAGGGACTGGGATGAGGCTGACCTGCCTCCTTGCCAGTGTTGAACGTGGGAGCCACATTTGCTTTCCGTTCAGTACTTGAGAACATCCCCTGCTTGTTGAGACCTTTCAGAGAGAATCAAGGGCAGCCTTGCAGTGACATAAGTCAGATCCCTCAGCCCTCATGGTGGTGCAGGCCATCAGATCCTATGGACTTGTGTATGTTCAGCTCAGTGTGTGTTCAGGCCTGCAATTTTCCTTAGTCTTTCTTTTGCTGCTGATAGGACCGTGGAAGCCCTTTTAGTTGCCCTTCATGTCCCTGAGTGAATTCAGCTCCAGAAAGGCTGTTGTTTCCTAAATGCATCCTTGAACACTTGGGCAGCCTCTCTGTATCCTTCCTGGGTGCTCTGTCCCTGCTTCCATCTGTAATATGCTTTCTTTTTATGTCTAGATTTTGTCAGGAGTTTATTGTTTATCCGTGCAGGCCACCTTTACTTTATTCCCTTTGCTTGGGGATGGGCCGTTCTCAAGCTTGGAAGAGGTGATTCTGTGAAAATCAACCATATCTCCTTGACCATTCTTCTCTAGAGGATCATACTCCAAGGGATTCTTCCATGGAGATCCCTGAACAGTCCAAAGTCTGCTCTCCTGAAGTTCAAGGTTGTGATCATTGTGTCTTCCTTGATCCCTACTTCCAGGATCATCAACTCCGCTCACTATGTCATGGGTACTGCAGCTGAGGTTGCCCGTGACCTTCACATCTTTGACCAGTTCTCCCTTACAAGTAAGTGCCAGGTCCGACAGGGCGTCTCCTCGCACCTCAAGTCTCAGCTCCTCGGTCTCTCACACCAGTTACCTGGATGTGCTCCAGAGGCCTCCCGGGCTGCTCGTGTCCTGCTGCAGTGCCTTCCCAGCAGATACCGGGGTTGTTGAGCTCCCTCATGAGGGCCACGGGCTGCAAATGTGAGACTTCTTCCAGTAGTCTGATGAAGACTTCGTCTGCTTCTTCCTGATCGGGTGACCTGTAGCAGATACGCAGCAGTGTTGCCCTCTAAATCCTCCTACAAGCTCTCAGATGCCTCGCTGTCTGAGCGAGGCAGAGCTCCCTGCATCCCCACTGCTCTTGCACATACAAGGTTACATCTGTCCTTGTATCCCTCCTGAAGAACCTGCTTCCGTGCCTGCGAGCAGAGTAAGTCTGAGTCCTCGCTAGCACAGAGGCTCTTCTCAGGGAGTAACCTATGAATGCAAAAACACTATAAGAACCCAAAACTTAATTTTAAAATTAAAAACGTAAGTATGGGTGTCTACAGAGAGGTGCTTCAGAGGGTGACAGTGACTAGGTAGTCTGAGCTCTTGCTTTGGACGGGCGAGACTGTCTATATGGGTAGCACTGCAGGTGATGCTGACTACCCATTTTGCAGTTTTCTCATTTGTCGTGGCGTTTTGTCTTTCTTCACTGAAAGAGGTTAACGTTTATCAAGCACTAGCCGGAGAAAAGTGAGGTACTGCGGTGTTGCTGCTGCTGCTAAAGCATTACTGCTTCAATTCCCTATTCATATGTAATAAGATCGTATTAATAGATTGGAAAATTTGGGGAGTTTATAAGCAGGAACAGAGGAGTCAGTGTTTTCTCCAAGAGTGCAACACAAAGGCCGGCTGTTATAAATGACATAATTCAAGGCTTAGCATATGTTAAATAAATAAACAGTCTCCTGTTTCATCCGCCGGCCCACTTGGTCTGTGCACACATGAGGTTTGTTAACTACCGTGCAATAATTCACAAGAGCTCTCAGGGTGGTTCCTAGTTTCTTCTTCTAACTATGGTCTGTGTAGTCCAGCTGCTACTCAACTGCAGTTTTGTCAACGACTGCTGTTTTAGATAAGAAAGAGACATAAATCCAAATCAGTAGCATTTTATCTGTGATGGATCCCATATATCTTTTTTGGGGCTTTGCTCAGACTACAGCCCTTGCAGATTTCCCTTATAACAACAGTGCCAGCTGCATGGAGGGAACTTAGCCCTGGCTGAGATTGTGGAGTGCTTTGCTTGGGTGAGTCCTGGCATTCCTTGCTGTGATAACGTGAGCGTTTTCCAGGAAATTCCTCATTCCTTTGCAATTGCCTCTGTAGCCTCCGCAAAAACACTGGTGGGATTGCAGGCGGGAGTTGCTTTGGGCACCATAAAATTGCCTCTGCTTGGTTCTCCAAACATTCCCACGGGAGTAAACGCATTTATAAGAAAATACTACAACAGGTACAGCTTGATACACAGAAACTCAAGTTTGTTAGCTGTCATCCTAGCTGTTGTGTGGCTAAAAATAGGGTCTTCGAAAAGTATCAGCATTTGGGCTTTCTTTTTGTTTGTTGCTTTTGGTTTCCCCTGCGAAACGGGTGGATTCCGGTCTGGGTTGGCAGGTAGGTCAACGAGCAGAAGACAGTGATGGGCAAACTGGTCTCAGCTTTTGGAACCTGTAATCCTGACCAGAGGGTTTTGTGGGAAGCCTATGGGTGTTGGAGAGGGAGGATGAAGGTGGGGGCAAGTTGAGTGAAACCGAGGTGAACCTGGGGTTTGCTGTTCAGTGAATGCCTCTTATACCCGATAATGAAAGTTCCCGTTATATACCCTCATGTTCCTTTTCTATAGGATGAGAAGTCAGGCACAAAGCTGTCGAAACTCAAGGCTTTCCAGCCAGTTAGGGATATAGTTGAGTTCAGGCTTGGGAAGTCGTGACCCCAACTTGTTTAACTTTTCCCTATTGTCTTCACTGGATGATTTAACTGATGATTCATGCATCATGCTCTAGGGTGAGCTAATGTTTCCTGACTCATGTTATTTATTTTTTAATCTATTACTGTTTGTTGTTTTAAGTCTTCTACTATTAAATATACATATATATATATATGCACACAGATGACTCATGACTTTTGAGTGTAAAATTACTCACTTTTTACTCTTCAGCTTTTATTCTCATAATTCTTTTGCTGTGTCCAGTGTTGGGTTTTGTGCTTAACTGTTACAAGAACAAAAATCTCTGAAAAAGACAGGAGTCTCTTCTGGGTAGTTATTTAAACCAAACTTTTTGCTAAGTAAACTGTTGATTCCTCACAAAGAAAAGGTGTTTTGTCAGGAAACCCACATACTTAGGATCTCAAAGGTGGTTTTTTTGGGTAATTAAAGTTACTGATGTTCACAAATTGTGGCCCAGCATCTATTGTTCTGGCAGCAGCAGGTGCTGCACAACCACCGTGATGTTCTCGAGGACTCCAAACCAGGGATCAGCCACACCGCAGCCAGGCAGGTGCCTCATATGTGTTTTACACCTTGGTTCTAACAAGATCAGACACTGTGGTCGCTTAGAGTTACTTAATGAAATGGATCCCATCACTGTTAGGTTTTTGTTGAGAGTTATGACATCCGTGGGCTGTAGCAGACTGCTCGCCCCTACAGAGGCCCTGAAAATAACTGCTATATACTGAAGTAACACTGTCTGAGGGTATCATCTAGGTCTGTAGGAATGAACCTCTAAAGAGATATAATTCATTTTAAAAAGCACAGATACTTATAGCTGACATACCATAATACTCTATTGCTGAGGTGAAAGAAAATGTGCAAGATGCTCATTAATCTACATGATGCGAGTGCTTGAGTAAGAGAAGAGAGGGGATGAAGAACAGATTAAATAACTTTCCAAATGAGTTTGTTGTGTCGCCAATCCTGTGTGAAGTTGTGGATTTTTTTTTTCCTCTAGAGTGGGGATTTGCTTCGTTACGCTGGTTCAGATATTTTTTAGATGTAGATGTTTTACTGAAAACATACGTTATTACAAGAAGGAAGCTCTTTTGTCTGTGTGCTGGTGGTGATGAACTCCCGACAGGAAAATAAAGGAGTAGTTCATCCCGTCATCAGGGGGTAGCTCGCACAGTGAGTCTGTTCCAGAAATATAAGAAACCTTCAGCTTGTCTTCCAGAAAAGAAAGAAACCTGCATTTGCCCTTCAACTCTTGATATTGCAACTTCTTTGTCCCTATGAACCCAACAGTAATGTGCATTTGTTTCCTTTTTTTTTCCCTTACAGGTGCCTGAGATTATAAGCTCCATTCGACAGGCTGGAAAAATAGCTCGTCAGGAAGAGTTTCAGAATAATCTGTCTGACGTTGAAGACCCTTTTGCCAAAAAGTTTGAGGTGCTCTTCTGTGGACGGGTGACGGTGGCGCACAAAAATGCCCCCCCAGCGCTCATAGACGAATGCATCGAGAAGTTTAACCATGCAAGTGGTGCAAAAAACTCAGACTCCAACTCCTTGCCCCAACAACATGAAACTACCAATAACTCGGGAGGCTTCTCTCTCAGCGAAAAGTTTCGGTCCGTCTTCCAGCCCTTGGTCGGTGAAGAGGAGGAAAAAAGGCCCATGAGAAAATCCTTTTCTCAGCCTGGGCTTCGTTCTCTCGCTTTTAAGAAGGAAATGCCGGAGGGAAGCCATAGGAGTAACAGCTTTGTCAGGTCTTTTGAGGAAGATGCAATTTCGCTGAACCTAAAAAGTCAACTTCTCTATGGACACAGTGTTGTGCAGCCCACGGACATTGCGGAAAACCGGACGATGTTGTTCACGGTAAAGCAGGATTTCTGCTACTGGGGAACGTTCCACGGCTCTGGGTTCCGCATGGGAAACACCAAAGCACTCGTCCTGACACACAGCAGCTACTTCTTTAATAACTTAATTGTGTACACTTAAACATCAAGGCACATATTTCTATATGAAGCATTACCAGTCAGTGTAACTTTTTTTTTTGTCAATAAGTTCACATTGGGTTTTTCCATTGGTATCATGTAAAATATTGGCCTCAAAAGGCAGCTTTTGGAATGCTGCAGTTAATAACTAGTTATATAATTGCAAAATGATACATCTAGTTACACTAACTAGTAACAGCAGCAATAGATTTCCATGTGAATTACCAGTAAGTAAGAGCAGAAGGACTGAGTGATGGCTTTGGGTCAGTGGAGCTTGTGTTCATGTCCCACAATAAGCAGCTTCCTTGGCTGCCACGTGCACCGGTCCTTGTGTTTGTGGTGCCAGCTGTGCCCTTGCTTTTATAGCTGAGCAACAAAAGTACCTCTCAATACCTTGGAGGAGAAAAAAAAGTGGGGTTGGTTTTACTTGCTCCTTTCAGAATCAGGAGATTGTCCTAAGATGTGTGAGGGTGTGATGGAAGCCTAACTGGGGAGTGAAGGTGACGGTACCGGCGATCACCAGCTCCCCTGTGAGGCAGCGGCTGCTGCTGGGGCTGGGAGTTTAAGGGCAGCTTAAGGGCAATTTCAGGGCAAAGCATGAAAGGGTTTTAGTTACAGGATGGGCCCTTTTTTGAAGGGAAAAAGAGAAGTGCTCCGTTAACAAGAAACACCAAAGTATGATGCCTGTAACAGGTAATGTTCAGGAGGAGGTGTAATTTGCTATACCTGACTTAAAGCCTTTGTTTGGTCATGGGAGGCTGGGAGCGGAAAAAGAAGTGGAAGAAGGTGGAGAAATGTTTCTACCTTCATAAAAACAGTTCTATCTTTACTTCTTCCTCTGAGCAAGTATTTCACATTGAAAATATAAAGGCCAATTGTAAATTCAGTAGGGCCTGTTTTTTAAAAACAAATACTGTTTCAGTTATTCATTGATGACACATATTTTGAGGAAGGTGTCATTATGGATGGATGTACAGTCCAGACCCTCCTACTCTCTTACATATGTTTTAAACTTTAATTAAACAGATGCAGCAGCCTTGGGGTAGACATGCAACGTAAACCCTTGTTTGCAGAGTGAGCACCTGGCCTAAACCTCTTTGTCCTTCCAGTTGGAATAGTTGTCCAGTCACAGCTACCTGCTGATGGAGACGTTTCCCAAACTGCGTGGGATTTTGCTGATGCAGCTTTCTCTCTCTGGTTGCTTTTTGTCTGGAAACACGTTGTTTAGGACGCAGAACTGTGTTCTTTCAGTGTAAATGGAGCTGGATGCAAGGAAGTGAAATGTCCATGGTCAGTGACTTGGGAAGCAGCTCGTCACGGAGCTGGCCCTGCTTGGCCAGCCCCAGTGCCCCCCAGTTGCTGGGGATGATGTGTGTGCAGCGAGCACAGCATTTCAGCTTGGCACGTGGCTACATGTGAAATGCTTCGGAGTAATTTGATATCCAGAGGGGAAAAAGCTGTTTGTATTTTCTCTGGTAAAGCTGCTATTTGTGTATTCCCCAGGGTTGTAGCGGAGCTTGGGGTATGAAGTGTGAAAAATGTTACGATAGGTTACGTGCCAGCCCTTCTGAGCTGGTTCAGATGGTTTGGATTTTTGCATTCTGTCCCTCGTAGCTGGTTTCTGAGTGGATTGGGTGAGTGTTTCCCTCCTCTCTCTGCTCTGCTGGCTTCAGATGGTCTCTGCTGCTCATGGTCCAAATGAAAAGGCAGTTTTATGTGGGGCTGACCAAGAACGAGCCTCTTGCCACAGGAAAAGGAGGGCAGGGAGCAGTAAAAGCTGTGGTGTAGGTTTGGGAAAGAGAGGCCCCCTCGTAAACAACAGAGAGGTCGACCCTGGGGACAATCAAAGGAAACCAGCAGGGATAGGGGAAAAACTGTTTTGGCTCGTAGAAGTGGAAAACAAATAGCAGGACTATTTTTAGGGAAAAGAAAAAGGAAAAGAAAAAGGAGAGAGGAAAAAAAAAAAAAAAAAAAAGAGATGCATCTCTCCATTTCCCCTGTTTTTGTCCTCCCCTTCAGAACTTCCAGGTGTCCTAGTGCTGCTGCTGCCTGTTTGGGAGGCGCTCTCTTGGAGCTTCGGGAGCTTCGCCTGAGTCATCTTCACATATGACTCCAGATTCCACCCGTTTCTCCTAAGTCTGACTTAATTCAGGAACTGCCTAGCAAACTTTTCTGGTGTGTAAGAACTTGGAGGAATGTAAATGCTATTCTGCTAAAATGTTACAAAGATGTTACCAGAAGTTGAAAAGTGACAAGCAGTAGTTTCACCTAGAAAAAAACCCTGTCATCGTCCAGCAAGAATCCTCCTCAGCTCTTGGCTTGCTGCTGTACGAATGGCCTACAGTTTAAGTCGAGAAATATACTCCCATAACCTCATTTATATATACATACATCTTAAAAAAGAATTAATACTAAACTCTGAAAAAAGAAATAAAGCCTCATGCTTGGTTTTAAATTGCAGGAAAAACTTATTTTGGGAATTTGGCATGTGTCAAGCCTGCAGAAATAACAGAAAAAAAAAAGCGCATATATATTTCTCTGTGTACAATGTCCTTTGCTTGTAGCATAGTGTCACTCTCCTCTCATTAAATACTGTTTTCAGTGTCGTGTCTCAGGTACGTGCCTGAATCTCTGTTCGTGCAGTGCCCGGCTTGTCCTTCCAGAGCTGCTCCGGTGCCCTGTCCCGCTCAGCTGCTGGGGCGCTCCTTGGTCAAAACATCCAGGCAGCAAAACCTTCGGAGGTTGTTTTTACCCAGGAAAGGTTCTTGTAGCAAATGTGATGTTACTTGTTACCATGTTGTTATTTACTTTGCTTTTTTTAGATTGGCCAGTCTGAAGTTTACCTTATCAGTCCCGACACAAAAAAAGTAGCAATTGAGAAAAGCTTTAAAGAAATATCCTTTTGTTCTCAGGTAAGTTACCAGTGTGTGCATTTCTTTAAGCGTTCCTGCCTTGGGAGTGCTCCCGTACTCCTCTCCCTAGGGATTCTCCCGGGCAGTTTCAGTAATTGCTACAGATGAGTTATTAGTTAATAATTTGTCAGGGATTCTTTCTTCATGCTTCTCCCTGCAGTTTCTCAGATAAAGACCCACTTCTTCAGGCAGTGAATGAGTACTGTGAACGAGGAGCAGCCGGGTCAGTTCTGTGTCTAAAGTTCAGGCATGAAGGGCTTAAAGAACCACTGTCTGCGAGACTTAAATATCTGTTTGTAAAGGCACTTTATAGACCAGTGCCTTGTGTTACCCATCCATGCTGCCCTGAATGGACTGGTCCTGCTCTTGCCGTTTTCTGTCCTGCTTGGCTGTATTACACCAGATTTGATTTGATTGAAGTGAAGGGGGATAAGCTGAATTTAATTTGCTGAACTAGGAGAGATTCTTTAGAAAACACCTAATTCCTTTCAGACTCGCTGTGGATAACTTAGATCATTAAACCTCTGAGAAACTGACCTCAACCAAAATGATATAAGGTAACTTTATGAAGGATTTAACCTCTCCACTGGTTTAACTAAAAATTCACCTGCGATTAAGCCAGTGTCTTGTTTGTTTGTACCGTGGGTCTTAGTTGGGGCTAAGATCTAGTACACTGAGATATGAGTTTTGCCATTCAACAAGTAGCTACTCAGTGCTGCATGGACATTGGTCTTAATGATGTTTGTGGCAAAACTGGAAAGCTTAAAATAGGTTAATTTACCCATTTAGAACATTTAGAACATTTACCCATTCTTTAGAAAGAATTAGTGATTCTTTCTAGATTAATTCTTTTTAAGTATAGCTTTTATTTTCAATTTGAGGATAACTTTCATTGTTAGGCGTGCATTTACCTATGGCAAGTATGTGCTCCTGGAGTGGTGTCCCAAGTTTGACACCTGAGAGATTTGGGAGCTCCTGGGTCCCCATTCCCATCCCAGAACAGTGCAGCTGTGCTAACACGGAAAAGCAAACCAAAAAGTTCTGCCTGGCATGTCCAGATTCCTTAAATTCCTGTGAATTTCCTTATTGTATCCTTTTGATTTAGGCGTATATTGCCTCTTTCTACCTGACTTGAGTATTCTTGTGCCATGACATTAGAAATATAGACAAGGTAAAAGTGATTAAAAGATACTAAAAGGGTGCGAAGTGCAAATGAATTTGTATAAATGACTTCTAGTACGGTGTGTGTGTAGTTGATCATAATAAGATCTTGGAAAAATTGTTCAAGAGTAATCAACTGGATGCTTTGTCTGAAGATGGGAGGTGTGACTTTCCTCCAGCTCTAAGCTTTCTTCTCTACTCTTTGGTCTTCTCTGTGCATCTTCTTTAGGAGGGACATAAATGCTTCTATCAATGATGCTCAAGTAATATATATATTCACTTGAATCTTTTAACTACCAACCTTTTCTTTAGGTACAAAGACAATTTTATTACTTTTTCACTATTGTTTTGATTTCTTCTTGCAATTAAAAGCTGCTGTGTGATAGTTAAGCAGAGAAGAAAACAGAAAGAAGGGCTTTCTCTCTAAGCCATTTCCAACACTGAATAAAATACATACTGAATAGTATTTCTTCTTCCCTGTGTTCTACGATAGATTAGTTGTAGGTAACTTATAAGAAGGTACATCTGACTTAAATAGAATATAAAATAACATGAAATACTGGAGTCTTTTAACAGAATAGATTTGAAGTGGTCAGTTAACTTCAGTGTAGCTGTGACAGATAGCAAGTGTGCTTTTGTTGCTGATGAACTGGTGATGTTTTTCTTGTGTAAAATACAGGTACAAAACACTTAGTGCAAGTATGACTGCCTCATTACTGTTGTTTCTGTGCTAGGGAATTAGACACGTGGATCACTTTGGGTTCATCTGCAGAGAGTCTTCAGAAAATGGAGGCTTCCACTTCGTTTGCTATGTGTTCCAGTGTACGGATGAAGCCCTGGTAAGAGAAAGAAATGAAAGGACTTCTAATCTCTTGTGCTGCTCATTGCTCTGCATCTTTTGCTGACTGGCTTCAAATCCTGCTCCACTCAGAAATGTAATTATCTCAGAAAAGTAACTAACATTGCAGACTGCTAGGGACCCTTTTCATTTATTTATTTATTTATTTATTTATTTATTTTAATCACCTTTCAAATCCAGTAAAGCTTCCTTTCCTTGTGAAAACTAAAGTTGACTATATGCCTTTTTTTCAGGAAGAATTTTTATGGTAGTGCAGTTTTTCAGGAAATCAGGGCCACGCTGCTATGCTGCAGATCAGGCCAGTGCCTTGCAGCTGTAGTAAGCTTTTTGAACTAGACAAATTTCTAGATAGCGGTAGTATCTTCATTAGACTAATAATAAATTTGGTTGCTCTGGAAGAGGCATGGCTTCAGCTGCTGTCATGCTTGTGTGTGTGTTTGCACACACACAGCAGCAGCTCTTCTTGTCACCATGAACATCCATTCCCCAAACACGTGGCAGTACCGTCCTAAAAGACTGGTGGTGTTTGCGTGGAGAGAAGCAGAGGCTCCATGGGAAAGTGAAGTCACGTTCCCGCTGCTCTCCTTTCTTTGCAGGTTGATGAAATCATGATGACGTTGAAGCAGGCTTTCACTGTAGCTGCAGTGCAGCAGACCTCCAAGGCCCAGCCGCAGCTCTGCGAAGGATGTCCTCTGCAGAGCTTGCATAAGCTCTGCGAGAAGATAGAAGGTGAGGTTGAAGGTTTCTGTCTGATCAAATACGCTTTTCTGGCAGTTTTATTCAGGGGTAATTTTACATTGAGAACTCTGTGAGAATGCCTGCTAAAAAGATTGCATTTTAATTTGGGTAGGAAGGAGGGCTGATGCCGATGTTCTTGGAGGCGATATTAAGTTATCCGTCAGGTAGTAATTTTCAAACAAAAGCCTAGCTTCCTTCTTTTCAGTTGGGGTTTTAAAAAAAATAATTAAGAGTCTAAATATTATGGAACTGCCGCCTGCTTGGCTGTCTTGGCTGTATAAACACAGAACATTGCAGATAGTGAACTTCATGAGAATACGTGCTACAATAGCTCTGAGCTGCTGTCCTTGTGAACCCAGTTACACTGCCACTACCCATGAGGCAAATGATATGTTTCTGTTGCCAGGCTGTACACTTGCATGAAAATGTGCTAATTACGATAGCAGCCTTCGCCCCCAAAACAAGGTCAAGACATAAAAGACTGTTTACCTCTGAGCAGATTTCACAGCTAGGTTTTGTTAATTTAAGGGAAGTCTGGGGTGAATAAAGGGCAGCAGCAGCTTGTCGGGTCAGATTACAGTAGCTGGTTGGGCTACAACCTGTTTGGTATTACTCTGAATAAACTGGATAACTTCCAGAACTGTATTTCACAGTATTTTGACCTCAACTAGCTATGATATTTGAGAAAAAAATTAAGATCAATTTGCCTTTAATGACATTAATTGTGTTGTCTTCTAGGAGGAGAAATGGCAGGAGCTGAAGTACAAAATACTGTTATGGCTTGCTATTTTTATAGAAGGAATAGAAAAGAAATTTAATCTAGAATGAGAGCAAAAAAAAATACATATAATCTGAACGAGAGGGTAGTCTGCTTTAGACTCCCAGTAAATGTTTCCATCAAAAGGCAAAGCAAAATCTTTGCTAGAATGCAGTGAATACTTTGCTTTTCAAAAGAGATCAAGGCTAAAAGTAGGAGAAAATTTAGTCTAAAATATATTTACATAACTGGACAAGCAGAATGCAGCCAGTACTGCCTAATACACCAACAAAGCAGTGTGTAGTAGATTGTGGGTTTATTTTATCATGTGTGATAAGGGAATCTTCTCACTGAGCTAGGGAGTATAATCCTGCTCAGTGCTCAGCAAATCTCCTCATCACAGACTGTGTCCCTTATTTTAAAGACATGAGTAAAAGTTCAGTGGTAGATTAACATAACTTCTTTCTAAAGTCCTTTCTGAAATCCGTGCGAGGGCTCAGGACACTGGTGAACTTCAGCTTAAATTTTGTGTGCATTTATATAATGAAATGATGAGTAATTCTGACACATTTGACCCTGTGATTTGTTCCTTTTTGTTCCTCTTACTAGGGCTACATCCTTCTAAGACTAAACTAGAACTACAGAAGCATCTAACAACACTAAATACCCAGGAACAGGCCTCAGTTTTTGAAGAGGTTAAGGTAAGATTTCTGTTTCCCACAAGGCTTTTAGGCAGATTAATAATTTTTGCTAATATTAGTGTGAAGCACCAGAATTATTTTCATTTTTTGTGAATTATTCACTTGCATTTTAAAAAGCCACAAATTAACCGATACTTTAATTTATGAATCATTTCTGGTTTTGATCTGTTAAAATTTCATCTTTTGATTAAAATCAATTTATTTTTCTCTTTTTCTAAGGTTGATTGTTTACCACTATATTGTTCAATATTAACTGAGGAGAACTGCATGAAAAAATTGTAGATGAAGGTAGTAACTTTGAGGATGCTCAGCTGTTACTTTAACCAAAACAAATTACTATAATATTTCTAAATCAGAAAATTTCATGCTAAAACCTTAACCCAGATCTGGCTACTTGAATTTGCCAAGCTAAGAAGTTTAACTTTCCGACTTTGTCTTTTGAATTAAATACAGATTAGCATGGAGGAAAGCTCAGACTTTTTTTTTTTTTTTTTTTTTTTTTTTTTTTTTTTTTTTTTTTTTTTTTTTTTTAAATCATTTCCACAGATTTAAACAGAGGGTGAATGTGATAGGAAATGACATTGGGCTTGGCATAGAAAGATTAGGAGATTTCAGAGTCTTTTTTTCTAATAATGTTTCCTTCCTGTCTTGAGTCATTTCAGTTTCTTTCTTCGTGCGCTTCCATGTGACAGTTTATCATCCAACACCAAATTTGGAAATTCTTCTCAGGGAGCGGTTCCATGAGCTAATTTCTTAGGATAGAGCAGCTAAGCGGGGCTGCTGCCCACAGTTGGGTGACTGTCTTTCTAAGGTGCTCCCCTAGCAATGGCTACTTCATACTGCATCCTGTGGATTACAGCAGTAGGATTAAAAACAACACATGCTTTTCAAAGATCCCTGTGTTTAAAAGACCGCTCATTATGGAGTTTAAACTGTTTTCTGTTGTAATAATCCAGAGCTAAATAAATATTTCAGAGAGAATTATATCCAGCTAGTACTCTTGCATAGTTTTGAAAACAGCAGTGTTATTTGCCCCAGATGAAGTTTGCTATGAGAAAGATATGCAGTTGGACAGTCATGTGCCTCCTAGGAGGTGAAAGGCAGTACTTCGTGTGCTACAAACACAGAACTGTGCTTATACTGAGGTCAAAACCGAATTCATAAAATGCATTTTCAGTTCCTTAGCTGTTTGTGGGCTCTATTTATGTATTTTGTTTTTATTTTGAGCAAGGCTCACTTTGTCATTGCAGAAGTGGCTTCAGGTGGTTGTCTGCCTGTGCTGCAGTTTTGCTTGAGCCGCTGGTGTCCTCTAGTGGATGGATGTGGAGGATTAACTGGGTGAAGCTTCCTCTGGCACTAACTGCACATGGATAGTGACAAAAAGAAAAGAATGCAGTATTTGCAAACTGCCTCACAGAATCACAGGATAGTTGAGGCTGTAAGGGACCTCTAGAGATCATCTAATCCAGCCCCCTGCTCCAGCAGGGACACCCAGAGCAGGTGGCACAGGGTGGCATCCGGGGGGGTTTGGAAGACCTCCAGAGAAGGAGACTCCACAACTGCCCTGGGCAGCCTGTTCCAGGGCTCAGTCACTCCCACTATAAAGAAGCTCTTCCTCACATGGAGATGGAACTTCTGCTGTTTTAGTCTGTACCTATTACCCCTTGTTCTGTCACCTGGTCACCACCGAGAGGAGTTTAGCCTCATCCTCTTCGTGTTCTCCACTCAAGTATTTATACATGAATGATGCAATCACTAATCATACACTTGTGCACTTCTCCCCCCACCTCTTTTTTTTTAATTGAAGAAATTAAGACCAAGAAATGAGCAAAAAGAGAATGAGCTGGTTATCTCTGTTTTGAGGAACATGTATGAAGAAAAGCAGAGGGACCACATTCATGTGGGAGAAGCAAAGCAGGTAAGTAATCCCTGAGTTTCTGCGCATGTAAGAGGCAGTCAAGAAAAATCTTACATTCTGTTTTTATCATCTTTCTGTAAGTAAACTTCTATCCCTGGCATTTTGGAGCTTTGAGCTATCAGCGGTGATGAAAGCTGGTTTTGCTTCAGATAGATAACCCCTGTTATCAGGTGCAACAGTAGACACATGTCATAGGTTTTGAAGTGCCTGGTACAGGCTGCTTTCAAGCCTAGGAAGTGTAATTAGGTGAAGGACTAATTTCCTTTTTTCTTTCTTTTTGCTACAGTGGAAATTCAACACATCTCAGGGAATATATTAAAAAATTGCATTTTTTCTTAGCTAATGTGGCACTTGCCCTGTCTGTGTAGGTTGATGTCCTGCCAAAGCATTGGACCTGGTTCTTGGTGAGGACTGAGGCAATTACTAAATAGCTGGAAGGTTTTTTGCATGTAAACCACTGAAGTGGCCTAAATAAGAGGCTGATGAGCACATTGCTGCAGAAACAGCGCATTTTATGATGACCAAAGGCGTGACCTGCTTTGATCTTTATCATTTTTTAAGGAATAAGTGCAGGAATTTTAAGTAATTGATGTTTTTTCAGCACCATTAAGATTTTTCAATAGTCATTAATAAATTTGGACAACTTAGTTTATGACTATGAGACACCTCAAGGAGACCTGTATTTCCAAAAGGAGTCAACACGCAAGTGTTTTGGATTTCTTATTTATTTATCTGAAATATTTCCATTTGGACCAGTGTGAACAGCCAAATAGTTGTCCATCATGAATGGTTGGGAAGTAGACATATATAAAACAAGGCAATATATATTTGGTGTGATTTGATTACTCCTAGGGCCTGCTGCAGTCTGTTTGCTCAACTCCCGGAACCCTAGTTGGTTATTCAGATATTTGCAGGGATGCCAGGACTCTAGGAACAAAGTTGATTTGCCCTCCATCCTTCATTTGTCTTAGCATAGCATTTTGTATTTGCACTGTTCATTTATCTCCAGAGCTGTGTAACAGCAAATACCTTTGAACTTGTGCTATGGCAATATGTTTGTCTTGCAAATTAACCCAGTGACATCCTGGTATCTTTATCACTGTCTTTTCTGCGTAGATATTCATTTTTGTGCTTGCCTACTTTTTTTTTTTTTTTTTTTTTAAATTGATACTTAAAGGACAGATATAGAAGTATCTCATTTTGTCATATGAGAAATGCTCCACTTATTTTGCTTCATACCGTTGTGGATTTCACACTTACATTTTTAAAACTTACAGACTTCACAACCCCCTCCTGAAAATGCTGGAAATGAGGTGTCCGGCAGTACTTCAAGGTTCAGGTTGGATATGTTAAAGAACAAAGCAAAAAGATCTCTGACAGAATCATTTGAAAATATTTTATCACGTGTAAGTACCTTTGCATTTATAGACTCTAAGCATAACTTCATTGCTTTATTTATTTGAAGGGTAGATATATCATATATACAGCCTTCCAGGCTATAGCTAAGTGGTTATTAAGGGTAGAGTGATGAAAAAAGAGGTAAAGGTCGAGGGACTGTATTTACATGCTAGAAGGAGACCTAGCAAAGCTTGACTTCGGTAAAGAAAATACCAAGATCTTACAAGTGAACTAATTTCTAGATGAAGAAATAACATATACAGCATATACAGGCATGAGAACTTTTTGAAAAATAACAATGTTCTTAGTTCTCTTTTGGGTTTAAAAATCAATAATAATTGTTCATTTATTATGTAGAAGGACATAAGAATTCTTAGTTCTAAAATTAGTAAGATAGTATTTAATACTGATACGGAGAATATATATATAATAAGACATCAAAGTTCTTAAATGTAAGACATCATTTGAACACGAGTGTAAAGAAACAAAGAGAAGATAAGCAAGAGTTGATAGATGGTAGAAAACCAAACTACAAACGCTAAAGAAGATAAATTGGACATTTTCATTTCTCATAGTCAAAGAGATGAACTAAAGCAAGATATAATATTTACTGGCAAAATGTTTTTCAATATGTATTCAGTTTGTACTGTTAAAATAAGCTTACAAAGCCTATTTTGAACCTAACCTGTTCCAGTAGAACAAGTGATAATGGTAACAGCACATTTTGCCTTATAACTGTCTAATACTTGTCCTTTTGTCCAGACTGTCAACTGTGCTTAGTGAGCACAGTTGCATATAGATATAATTATTTCTATGGGTATGTAAACATGTGAGAATCCTTCAGGAGGTTTCTTGAAATTACTTTATATAATATAGCAACATCAGAGATTAGGTAAAAAAATATTTGGTTGTTTTCTGATTTGTATGCATTGAAATGATCGTTACCAGAAGTGATGTTTTCCTGGGCATTAAATTGATATGATTTTCAGTTTTCCTTTTGTATCTTGATAACCAGTACTGAAAATGGAGTGTAGTGTGGTTTGGACCAAAGAAAGCAGTGTAACAACAGTGCAACGCATGCAGTACGGAATTCTGTACCTGCCTTGGAAAGCACATCATGGAAGCATGTGTGTGTATTTTCATGCCAAAGAGCGAGGCTGTGATGCATCCAAAAGCTCACGTGTGTATGCACAAAGCTGTCAGTGAGAGTTCACTAATTGCATAGGATCCTTTAAAATGTAACTACTCTGAATGAAACTGCTTAGTTAAAGAGAATTAAACTTAATATTGACCTCAGAAGTTACAGATTCTGGGTGCATCAGGTATCTCTTTTTTTATTTTATGGTATGACAGAGAATTTCTGTATTTTAATCCTATATATGTGTCTGTGCTTTATATCTACAGGGCAGTAAAGCTAGAGGTCCACTAGAGAGTTCTGGTAGTGTGGATGTGGAGAGCTCTGTGTCCAGTGCATTAAGCAGCACAAGTAAAGTAAGTAAAGCCTATAGTGAATGGATATATGTAGAAGCCTTGTTTAATTTTCCCTAAAACAAGTCAGATGTGAAACGCAGTTACCAAATGATTATGTAACTGTGCTTTATCTGAACATTCTGTATTTTATTTTGATTATTTATTATGAGTAGGCAAAGAAATGAAATAGACCTCAGAACAGCCAGACAAAATGGTAAGAGCAGCATGACAGAGGAGGGGGTAGGTGTGTGCCCATCTCCTTACCTGTAAGAATCCTACTGTCACTTGCAGAATATCTTTATTCCTTAAGAATTCTTTTGAATTAGAAATATATTATGCTACACAGAAATATGTATGTAGTATGTATATTATTGTTTATATGTTTGAAATGAAATATGATGCAAATAATGTCATCTAAATCTTGCAATAAAGAAAAAACACTGCAGTAATTTCCATGCTGATGATCCTGGTCTGATCCTTGTAATCTCACAGCACTGAAAGTACATGCCATGAATGCCATATGGCATCCATAACGACTGTAAAACTAATCCAGAAATGGAATATTTTCCCCCTGTTGCATAGTTAGAAGGCTTTTAGTTTGAAATAGAGCAATATAAACAAACAGCACAGAGGAGAAAAATGGTCTTCCTTTTTGGATGTAGCCGGGACACTGCAGACTTGGATACAGCTGACAATTCAGTGCCTTTTTCTCTAGCACTGAGCCACCTAGTGGACTCCTAACTTAAGATAATGAAGAGTTTACACTCTCTGATCATGGTTTTTGGCCAGTTTTGCATAAGGTGGGAAAAGACAAGTTCATAGTTTTGGACTGGCACAGACATGGGATCAAAATCCTTCACTCTAGTTTTCTAACCAGCCATTTAGAATTTGTACGGTAAAATCGTAGTGTTTTCTGGGATAGTAAGCACCCAGAACTCCAAATGCTTCCTTTTCATCACTCTACTCAAATCTGCCCAGTCTGTTCATTCCTGATTTCTTCTGAGCTGTTCTTAACATACTATAAAATACGGTTATTCTTGAAATTATTTTTGTGTATGTATTTTATTGCATTCTATACAATGGAGACTTTGTGATTTGTTGACACTCTTGATCAGCAGCAAAACCACAGGATCTCAATGCTTCCATCTCTGAGATAACATGATGAAAATGTCCATGTTGAAGCAGGGCTCTTTGGAGTGTGTGACATGGAACTGCAACCTCAAGAATTGATTTTTATCACCACATATTGATAACCATTTTTTTTGCGTTGCTAGGAACCACCTCCGTGTGAAAAAGAGAGAGAGAGGCTCCCTACCCTCCCTCCAGAAAACTCTGTCAAGAGCAGTGGCTCAGTGGGTGACCTCTCTGGTGACCAGGATAGTTGTCCCCTCGAGCTGGCTGCCAAGGTACCGCAGCAGAGCTTTCGGCGGCGAGCAAACACCTTGAGCCATTTGCCAACGGAAAGCCGGGAGTCTCTGGAGCCTGTTGAAAAGTCACCGTCTGTTCCGCAGAGGAAACTTATGAGGTATCACTCTGTGAGCACAGAGACTCCTCACAAGAGAAAGTAAGAGTCACTCAAAGCAGGCTGTGATTTGTGTTGTTGAGGACGTATTTGGGGGTGCTAATTTCATACCACCTATGTCCTCTTGGCGCGTAACAAATGCATCATAGTGGCGCAGACTCATTCTGTTTGAGATTTGTAGTGGAGTTTATCTCCAAAAGAGATAAAAATGAAACGTGCACTTCCATAGTAAATGTTACAAAAATAAGTGTAAGCACAATATAGGATTGCTCGTGAGGAATTAGACTATATATCTGAAAACAATGTTCAGTAATTTTTCTTATTTCATCTGCGAGCAGTATAATAAATTCTACATTTATGTACTCTGATTATGGAGAGAATTTGTGATGCTGATACCTTTGATTGGGAGAATTTGTGAAATATTTAAGATTAGACTTTTAAATAACATACAAATCTGACTTAAATTGCCTAATTTTTGACAGAGATGAGGCCAAGGAGCTTTTGTAGGTTTTAATCACAAAAACGATCTGCCTGGCTCCATGCAAATATTCTTCAAGCTACCCTCCTTTACATGGGACTTCTACAGCTCTAAAAATCTCCTCTTAATGGCCTTTTTCTTCCCTCCTTCTATCTGACTTTTTCCAGTTGCTGTGAAAACATTTGTGTGTGCAGACTTCTGTTTTACTGCCAAGCTGCTCATTTACACAAGTTAGACGGTAGGAAGCCTGTCTGTGTTGCAGCTCCTTTTTCCCCTGCAGGATGCAGGACACTAAGAGAATATGCCTAAAATAGGTGATGACAGACAATTTTAGTATTAAATAAGAAAATATAACCTGGGATGCCTTTTTATCCCTTCTTTGAACCTTTTTGATCCTTAAACATTAGGATGCATTTGCGGTGCAACTTAGAGCTTGTGTCTTTTTGGTGTGCTGCCCTTGTGAAAGACGTCCTGATGGTTGGGGCTGCTCGTTCAATCAGCTCTTGTTTTAATATAGAAGTGCAACTAGAAGTTAAGTATGGCTGTTGCTGCTTAGGTTTGATCATGTAATGTTCATTAAAACCTGAATGTGCCTGTCTTATGTAACTAGACCTAAAAAGAAATTGGTTATTCACCTCTCACAGTTAAAATACAGAACTGGGGGAAATGGAAAACTTTGAAGAAAATTCTACTTAAAGTTTCGGAAAATCACCTGAAGGATTGGCTTTGAACAAGTCAAGAACTAATGTTTTGGACAGCTTATCCTAATTCCTAAATTATTTCCAAAGTATGAAGAGGTTTGTTCTTTAAAAGGTATAACATCTCACAAAGGAAAAGCACACAAAGGGAGTGTTATTGATCTTACTGTGGGATTTAAATTTAGAAATACACTGAAGAGCCTTGCTGAAGCCTCTAAGTATATATCTTAAGTATGTATTTGGGATTTTTCTGGTTGTATTAGTGCTCAGCCTCTCAGTCTTAACTGAGAGACATAGGGAATAGTTCATTTGTATTGGCCAGATCACTTAAAGCAATTTCATTTCTCTCTCTCTCTCTCTTTTTTTTTTTTTCTCTCCTTTCTCTGTGTTTCTGTGTTTTGTTCTCTCTGTTACCTCAACTCCACTGGTTGGAATCCCACTCTACGGCTCGAACGCATCTCTGGGCGAATCTTAAAGCTCTTCCGGTCAACTTGCACCTTCTCCTACTCTAACTCGTCTTAATCCCTCCGCCTCTTCACCCAACTTCTTTAAATATCTAAGGCATAATGCAAGTGGAGAACCAAGTGGGCATTTTACACAAAAGAGGTGAGCTGGCCCCTGTCTATGGTTGGGGTAGGGGTCGTTTCACTCTGTCATAAATACAAAGCCGTGCAGTGTAAATAGTCACAGTAGGTGGTAGATTTGAGAAGGAGAGAGGGAAATTTCAACTTCTCTGCTACCAACTGTAGCGCTGCATCATGGAGTATTTATTGAAATTTGCTTTATTGAAGTGATATTCTTTCAGACATGACTTATCTTGAAATCAGTTGCTTTTGTTACGCAGCAGAGAGCAGCACTGATTAAGTTGTGCCAGGGGTTTAGTTGCCAGAACGTGTGATCACTTCTGAATCGCTCACTTCTGTTTCGTTCATGGTGACACCGGAGCACGTACGTGGGGGTTTGTCTGTGCTTGATGTTAAAGGCAAATTAACGGTGTTCATGGAGAAAGAAATATCTGGATGGTGGAGAGCAGATTCCAAAAGCAGCCCCTGTGTTTGTCTTGGTTACTTTACCAGTATTAGATGCTGTTTTTCTCTTAACTTATGTTTCTTGGAATGAAAATATATGGAGAGAAAATTCAGAAAAGGACATTAGTCCTTTGTTTCTCTGAAAGACTGAAACAGTGAGCTCCCTAAAGATTTTAGCCATGAAACCTTTCAAGTTGTATTTGCCAGAAATGCTAACAAACATCTTTATTTATTTATTTATTTATTTTAAATTTGATTTCAGCTCAAGTGTGTCATATAGCTTGGGGGAAGCAAGGGAATATGAATCTCCAGTATCCTCTGTTCGATACGGTGTATCGAACCTCAAAGCAACGGGACTTAGATGTTAAGCTGATAGGGCTATCAAATAAGTTACTGAGTTTAAATCGTTAAAATCAATCTATCTGGGTAATTGTAATTCTTTAAGAGAACTTCCCCATGATTGTAACTGAATTGCAATCCTATTGCAAGTGGAACCTGGTTTGGGGCACATGGTGCTGCAGCTTTGCTTTCCTCTCTTGTGACTAGCGATCATCCCCAAGTACTGCCCTGAGTCCCGTTCCTGTTTTCATTAGCAGGCAGGGCTACGTGCCATGCAGGTGTGTCCTTCTGGCTTATCCATCTTTATATAACACAGTTTGTAAGGCGCAAGTTCTCCTACCTTCATTCCATACAGAGACTTGAACCGAGTAGTTCCTATTTCCTTGCATTACCCTTATTCTGGGCGCTGGGAGCACAGAACAGAACCTGAAATTGTGTTGGACAGAAGAGCGTTACTGATATTTGATGAGGGCTTCTGTCTGCTGCATAAACAGAGCAACAATCTCAAATAATCAGGCAGAAAACTCAGCTTTTGTCTTAAAACCTCCAAGCATGTCTGAATAAAACCTTGTTAATGCTCCACAAATTGCAGTTTGCTGAGGTTTTATTTTTTTATTTGCCAGTGATCACCACAGTGTCAGCTTTTCTTGCCTTTTTTTTTTTCCTGAAACGTAGCCAGTTATTGAAACTCATACCTAATTAGATGCCGAACGATAAAGTTGGCATCAGTTCTTATAGGATTAAAGAAATTTGCTAGAAATATGCACTGGAAATTTGGGGGGATAGCAAAGGTTAATACATTTGCTGGAAATATGCTTATTTATTTTGGAACATTTTAGTTGGCCCAAATATGTATTTCAGAGTAGGATTTTGTTAATAGCTTTAGTTTAGACTTTGGATTCCTTGGTATTCATGCCTTTGAGAGTTAGCTGCTTTTTGTTTGAACTTACCATATATGTTATTTTTATTCTGTGCATTTATCCTTCCTCATTCTAAACTATGCTTTTCCCAACTGCACTCTCAGCATCTCCTACCGTACTGCCTTAAGGAGAAAGCTTCATTCTTCCTCCTCTGTGCCAAATTTCTTAAAATTTCTGGCTCCTGTAGATGAAAATAACACCTCTGACTTTAGGAGCACAACAAGGTAGGCTTCACTCCTTAAGCCTCAAGGTAAAAGTGTACTGTTCAAAGGTTTCCTTTGTTTGAAAGGTTTTGAGTGCTTTTTGTACTTGTGAAACACAATTTGTGCAACAGTTCACTTGCATGGATTCTGCATGTGATTGCTGTAAATACAATGGTGCTATCCCAGAATTTTTTTCCCACGCAGAAATCATTTATTTTGGTGTTGTGATCATGCAGCCTATGTAGTTCTGTGGTTAGTCCTGCCAAACAACTTTTTTAGTGGGGTTCAAGCCATGATTTGTCCAAAACAATGTCAGGATCCTCCAGTGGAAGGAGAGAATGATCCCTGGCTTGTAAAGAGCTGCTCCCAGTTGCTACCAGAGTAAAAATCCATTTATGCCTTTCAGCTTGCATGAAGACTCATAAACCCCTTAGGAGAGAGTTGGAATGAAGAAGTGAATTGAACTATATAAGGTGTAACAAGTGAAAGTTGTTACATTTTTACATTTTTGTTAAATTTTTAATCGACGACAGCATTGCTATTTATTATTTGATATTTTGGCAAAACAACTCTGTGTAGTAAATGGAATACATCAAAGGAGTAGTGTCCAAGGCTTCTGGAAACTGTTCCTTGGATTGTTGCTTGTTTCAGACTGACATGGGAGCATGGACGTTAAAAGATTTGCTCCAAGCTTGTATCTCTGAAGAAGGGTATTGCATATGTAGTTCACAGAAGGCTGGAAGTTTAATTTATGTTTATAAAGCGCCTTCATGTCTGCTGATAAAGGGCATCAACAGCCTTTTGTGTTTCTCCTATGAACAATTGCTAGATTTTATGGAGGGCAGTTAAATAGCTGAATGGTAAAAGTACCTTAGAGTGTGTAAGTATCTTTAATGCGTTGTGTGCTTGATGCATTGCTGCAAAAGCAAGCTGCAATTAAGCTAAAGCTTGAGACTGCATGAAGCTGTCAGCCACCGCTGCGGAGCCTGGGCGGCGGGAACGGCCTCGTGCTGCCCAGGAGCAGGGATCGGCGCCGAGCACGCCGAGCTGCGGCGGCGCGGGCACAGCGCGCTGCTCCCCTCGCGGGCGGGCCCGTGGGCAGCGCCTCCCCGGCACGGGCGGATTCGGGTGACCCGCACCTCAGCTCCGCTCTGTGTTCTGCAATTGCAGCGACTACGAGTCCAAGCAGAGCCAGGAGGCCGCTGGCGCCGGCAGCCCCGTGCGGACCCGGCGGCACTCGTGGAGGCAGCAGATATTCCTGCGAGTGGCGACGCCGCAGAAAGCCTGCGACTCCCCCGCGCGATACGAGGGTAAAGTGCTTGCTTTAAACTGAAAATAAATGTGGTAACGGAGGAGACCTCACAAATGTGCATTGCTTTCCCTAATGAGCGGGCTTGTTTGCCAGGTGCTCTTTTTGTATATTGCCTTTGCGCTTTCCCACCTTCTTTTGGGTCGTACCAAGCTCGTCAGCTCTTGCATTTTTATTTTTCAGCTTCATACATAACATAGATCTCAGTGTCTTAATTATCTAGCAAAGGAATAGCTTTCATACTTGCTGTGTAGTAAGTTCTTTGGGAGAAAAAAATGCATTTCCAAGTATTGGTATGGAGAAGGTGATGCTTCCATTTGATCTTCCTCGCTGTAAGATAGAACTAAGGCTTACTATGAAAATCCAGGCATCACACAAGATATTAATTTTCTTCTATGATCTTGTTTGAGTTGTATGTGGAAAAAAACAGAAAAAGAAAAAAAAAGCCCATCGAAGCTTTTCATTTGAGATTTAGTAGGGCTTGATAGCAGCAAGATACGATCTTAACAATCTACAGCTAGATAAGCAGAGTAGTTGGAGGAAAAAATGTGGCTAAAATGGAAAACAGGAAGTGTTTCCAATTGGAGGAGCAGTTTAGAAGAATAGACCTTTTACTCTACTTTTGTTCTTTTCCCCAGTGTGGGTATTCAGTTTGTGTGAGCAGAGGAAAGCCATCAGAAGACTTTCAACTACCCCTCATCACCCCATACCTCCCCTACAACTTTTAGATTTTTCTGTACAATTTTTTTCATCTCATTCTGCAAAATTTTGGGGAGCAATTATGTTCATTTCTGTAGTGTTTAGGAGATCTGTTGTACAGAGGATCTTGCATTGAGCTTACCACCATGGTTAACTTCTGTAATTCCAAAGAAAATGCAATCAATCATCAACACTTGTTGTTCCTTCTTTCTTCTCTCAGTGACCAGCTGTGTATGCAGTGGAGTTTCTTCTTTTGGTCAGAGGTTACATGTTGAGTTGCTTTTGCTGTATTTGTTTTCAAGGATTTCTTGCTGATACTTTTTTTAGAGGATATCTTTTGGAAGAATTTATGCTAACAGCTGATGTATGGCCAAAAGGCAAGTTTCAGCCAAGCTGGACAGCCAGAGCAGGTTTTAAAGACAATATGTTTTGTTAAGTCCTGTAAAACTAGGCAGTAAGAGAAGGAAACAAGGGAGCACTAATGATTTTCCCTTTTTTAATGCTGATTCTGCTGGGCAGTTTCCTCCCATTAAGTGCAATAGTCCACGCATCACTCCAGGGTGCTCCACAGGAGAGCCTTGAGGAAAAGAGCTTTGAGCTTTGCATAGTCTTGCTTTTTCTAATCTTTGTATTAATAATCCACCAGTCAGCCTGAGCTATTTACTGCATTGACCCAAGCAAATGAGGCTGCTCTGGGGGATGCCACTTCTTCAGGCTGCATTTAGTTAATGGACCCTTGTAAAATGTCAGGAATAACAGAGACATTTTTCAGCTTTATGTAGGCGGAAAGGTCTGGATTCTGGCATTTGTGAACCCCTTTGTATCAGCAGGAGGTGAGCTGCATCTCAGCAGGCATCATACTGGGTGCCCCTCCCTGTGTGGTAACGGGGCAGGATATGATGAAGTAGTTAGAGTAAACATGGAAAAACCCCACAAATAACTGAAACATAATTATGTCACTAAATATGTCATTTCTAATGTAGTATAGTTCAAATATCTAGGTTTATCCCATGAACTCCTTGTACCCCTCACTTCCTTGACTTGAAAGCTTTTGTATTCCTGGCTGGTTTGTTTTGCTTTGCGCTAGTGTTAGCATTTGGCAGAGTTACTCAGTCAACCAACCATACTTGGGAGGAGGGGAGAAAAAAAGCCTAAAAAGGCTTTGGGAGATGAACGGTTCAAAACTTTTTTTCCAGTACTTCCAGAAAAGCAATATTTATGGAAAGGTGTAGAGCGAGGAGAGCACTCCTCACACACACGGGATAGGGGCAGACTTGCAGCCGTAGGGGGTGTGGGGCACTGGGGGGCAGCAGTTCTCCTGCTGCAGGCTGAGGCATGATTTGCTTGTACCCAGTTTTTCAGTACTGTTTTTGAGAGGGAGGTAAGTGTTGGACCCCTCAATGTGGAGGGATGGAAAGAGCACCCATCACGGAGCTAGTGCACTGTGTTACCATCTGCTACAGTGCAGGACTGGATCGGAGCAGAGTGATCACGGAACCCCAGCGAGATCTGCCCTGCAGCGATAGGTTTATGTGCTTTTATTCTGCACTTACAGATAGGACAGTTTTCTCACAGTGACTATGAGGATTGCTCATAGCGGGAAATGCGTTTCGCAGGTTGTCAGGAGCTGCCAGCAGAGCAAAGGTGTGTGTCGGCTCTGAGGGTGTGTGCCTGTAGCTTGCTCACAGCAGTGGTGGGGCCCTGATGCCGCTTGCAGAGAGCCGCTTTGCTCTCTGCGTTGGTGTGTGGGGAGCAGGGGCTCAGCAGGAGCTAATGTGGGTTTTGGGAGCTGAGCCTGCCTCAGGTTGGGGAGTGCTCTGGGTCGGGGTACAGTGGTGGGGTTACACGCTGAGCAGAAACTCCTGCCTTGCAGGAGTGAGGTGTTCGATACTGCATAGCAGTACTCGAGAGCAAAAACCCTGGTGGAAAAAGGAACTTTAGCCTGAACAGTTACATAGTATTTGGCAATTTGCTTTGTAGAAAAATTGTCTTTCCAAAAGTTCAAGGAAATTTTTCTATAAAGAGGAAAAAAAACTTAATTGAAGTAGAAAGAGTTGGGTTTCATGCTCTGGCAGAGAGGGGTAGAGACTGTCAAATTGCAGCTGTTGAAGAGAAGGTTCTGGAGAGCTCTTGAGATTGGGAGAAATGGTTTTCTTGAAGCTAACTGTGGCTAGTAAATGTGTTTATTTGCTTTGTGGGGAGGGTTATGTCTCTTATGTTCAAAATATTTTAAGAATCACTAACAATACTGCAAACACTGTACGGCTGTTGCGTTAACTCTCGTCTTGGAGTGTTTGCGTGGTATAAACTGCTTCTGGTGCTTCCTCCAGTACTGTTGCATTGGTTCTTTTTTTGGCAATAAAATTATTATTAGCTATTAACTAATTTTATATATTTTGTAAAGGCGAGATTTCATAGAATCATAGAATGCTTATGGTTGGAAGGGGCCTCCAGAGGTCATGCAGTCCAACCCCCCCTGCACACACATCTATCCAGTTTATTAGAATTGACCAGTTAGTTCCATCCCTTTCAGAACATATATTCTTTCTTGATGCAGATGGAATCCTTTAGAACTAGAGTAGCATCTTTATGAATATTAACTAAAATGACCAATATCCACAACTTCCTTGAGTAACTTAAAATTCTTCCCTCAGTAGTATATGAAGGTTCTATCAGCATTTAAAAAAAAAGAAAGACAAAATGTTTGCTATTAAAAATAAAGATTAGTTCATAATCTTGATTGGAGCGTAGGAGCTCAGGTATATGCAGTACTGAGCATAATGTGTGACAGCTTCTGTGCCCATTAAAAAATGAGGACGTTAATTTCTGAAAACCTGATAACACTAGTAAAAGGAGTGAATTTTGAAGCAGCAGTTACTTTTGAGGAAGGTCTTCAAAAAAAATAAAAAATCAACCATTAGTCATCTCTAAGTGTTAGTTTTAACCACCTGTGCTAAAATACACACATTTTAAAGAATTCCTTATTGAGCTGTTGCCTTAAGTGATATGTGAAACTAGAAGAACTTGTTGCTTCTTGTGATTCCTTATCCAAAATTTTCTGTTAATGAAAGACTCCCAGTCATTTTACTGCATTTGGTGCTGGAGTCAAATGTTTAAGATATCTGCCTAAAGCAGTGTGATTAGTGTCTGTGTCCTTGCTTATTCAGGTCTGCAGCCCCATATCCATTTTGTGCCATGTATGAAAGAAGGTTTTGCACTGCCTCAAAGCAAGGTCTGGAGAGAGGTAAAGATGTGTGCGAGTCCTTTCCTTTGGGCAGTTTAATCACAAGACTCTCTCCCTTGTTTGCTAAACTGATTTTTTTTAATGTTTAAAATGCAGCAAAGCAAAACACTCTAGTGCAAAAAAGCTCAATGGAAATTCTTCTGTCCACATTTTCATTAAGTTTCTTGCTTGGCTTTTTAACCCTGAGGACACAATGTAACTTGAAACAGAAGGGCTTAGGGCAAAAGAAAACCATATTTACAGGTTCATGTGTAAATAGTTGCATAGGGATGTTAGTAACACTTTACTAGTCTAACATTGTGGTGGAGCCTCTTCCCTTCTAACTTCTTATAGAAATACAACGCGTGCTGCTTTTCTCTCTGCAAAGATAAATCTTGTAATCTGGTTTTTGGTATTTCAGATTAGTTGTTCTAAGTGCTACTTAGGAGTGAAACTGCCACCTGAGCTGGTGGGCGCAGGTAAATGGGTCTTGATGAGCTGCTCTGGTAGTTGCTCATCACCTTGCAGGGCTCTTAAAAGCCCCAGGTGGTGCTTTTTTTCTTCTCTGGTGAAGTTGCACTGTCTTTGGGAATACTTAGTTGGATCCATAGACTCCTAGTAGAGCATTGTGCAGAAAAAGAACATTTATGGATAGTCCAAATATGGACTTAAAATGCGAAATAGCCTGTATGTTGACAAGATATGTTCATACCTATTAAGGCATTTGCCTAATCTTGAATCTAAAGGAGTAAAGATACGCCTGCAAGCAGAGTTTTCTGTGGAAACTGCAGTGAAGGGACTTTCCTGCTCAGAATACTAGAAAGATGACAGGTCAAATATGGAAGAGGAGTAAACAAAAGCTGACAAGATCGGCAGATAAACAGGGAAGCAAAGTCTTTGCAGTCTGCACTGAAGTATTTAAATCTTCTTTAAGGGCACTTATTAGTCTCTCAAAAGTTTTGTACTTAAATTTAGTACTTAAAGTTTTAAGCTTTAAACTTAAAGTTTTGTACTTAAAAGTACTTAATTTTAACACACAGCTGTTTGATTCTGTGAAACGTGCACTCCTGGTTATGCTCATCTGAACTGCTCTACCTTGTTTTCTCTGCTGTCCTTCCAACCACTGATGCATAAGAATAAAGTGTTTTGCTGCTGCTTCACCATTTTTCTATTCCTTTCAGCTCAGCATATGGAAGCCAAACTGCATGCCTGACATTCACTCTGTCATATATTCATGAACAAGGGTTCGTGCTGTCTTACCAAATTCCTGGGTTTTGTCTTTGCTTTGAGACATTACCTGCCCATTCTGCTTCTCCCTGCCTCACCAGTCAAACATCTGATGCAACTCTGCAAACTTTAAGCAAGCCATCTGGGCAGTTAAACAGGTTCCTTTTGGTTTCTGTGCATCCTGCTGCATGCCAGCATGGTCATGGGAGGGAAGGCAGGTTATGCTTTATCAGAGTAGACTTTAGACTTTCTTTCAAATGTCCACAAGTGATAAGGGGAAAGAAAGAAAAAACAGAAAAGGAGCTGCCATTTGGAAGGTAAAACCAGACCCAGGACTCTTCCACGGACAAACTGGAGGTAGGGTTGATAATAATTTATTCTGCCAAATTGTGTAATCTTACTGTGGTTTTTTCATACCCTTAACCATTGTGAGTTAAATTGCTTTTAGTGAAAGCTGATCTTATCAGGTTAGCCAGTGACAGAAAAGCAATTTTCATCCCAAGTGGAAGAAAGACTATGCTCCTGAGTAGCTAGTGCTCTTCAGTGATACAACTGTTGCTTCAGCAAGTTTGACCATTGGAGGACTAATGTTTGTGCTTTGACAGCCTCTTTTTTTTTTTTTGGATGTGAGAAATCCATAAGCTGTCTTTATAGGTTATCTGGTATTTTCTAACTGAAGTGTGTACCTGTGCACACATGTACGCACAAAATCAGTATATGTATTTGAAGCTAGAAGAGATCAAGAAACCACTAATAAGGTGAGTAGGGTGAAGAGAAGAGGTTGTTTTCCCCAAGGTGTTTTGCTTCTTATATTGGGTGCTATAACAATGTACCAAGAAGCAAATAGACCACAGATAACACACAGTGGATAAAGATGTTCCTAAGGGGGTTGCTTTTGTAGCCATCCATTAACATCTGGTGACAGTTTTCATTAGTTCTATAAGGCAATTTAAATTAGTGCATGCAACGCACTAATAACTTTTCTGAAGGAGGGTGGGTTTTTTAAAGTTTCACATCTGTTGAAGTAAGTTAATCAGTCTGTCAACATAAGAAAAAGATATTCTGAACATTGCTGACAGTAGTGTTTGTGTGTGTGTGTGTTGGAAGAACAGTCAGATAGGAATAATTTCGCATTTAATTCTCAAATCGAGTTGAGAATTAATCAAGTGTATGCTCCTTCTCTAGCTGATGACATCTACATAAAGCTTTTTTGTGGTACAAATCTTTGTTCAGGGATGCCTTCTTATTTACTTGTAAAGAAGAAAAAATAAAAAAAAAAAAAAGAATGCTTCTGGTATTTTTAAAGGGTTCTAATATAGTATCTTCATGGTAGTGACATTTTTAATAACTGGCAGCATTTCTGAATCCATCTCTGTCAGTGTTTCATACTTTGCTTTGTGACAAGTGGTGATTGCCACCAGCCTGGCAAGTCCTTGCCATTTGCCTAATTGGTCATCATGTGAAGTTCATCATTCTCTGAAATGCGGTAGATATCTGGTGAATAATTATATTCAGAATGGAATTTGTGAAGATTTAAAATGTTCTTACTAGTTTGAGAAGTTTTGTTTTGTCTTTTTAGCCCTTGAGTGCAGATGCAGTTAAGTGCATACAACATGCAGATAAATGTTGAATCAGGAAGCAGGTGATGCTTGGACGCACCCCATTTGATACTTGGAGAGGAAAAGACTGACAGGGGCAAAACTTAAGGGAAGCAGAAGGGAAGAGCGGTGAACATTCCCATTCTTACTTGATGGACTCAGCTCATTTGTGCGAGTGCCTTTAAACATGCAAGGAAAGGGCAGCAGCTCCAGTGCCGGGGCTGTCCGTGTATAGGAGCTTTCTGAGCAGAATTTCACAGGGCGCAAACCTTGCAGTTCTGTTAGTTTGTAGGGAGGCAGGATGCAGTGTTCATGTGCATGCCTCCTTCAAAATCCTTATGCTGTCAGGCAGTGACGTGGGAAGCGGAGCCCTGGGCTCCTGTGCAGAACCATTTTTCAGGAGCACCTCTTGCTGGGAGCCCACTGAAGTAGCCTGCACAGGCGCCCTTGTCCGTGGTGGGGTGCCGTGGGGAACAGGTCGTGGGGAGCTGCTCTTTAAAGCATCAACCTGCTTGCACAACCGGGCAGCCTGTGCCCAGCCATTCTGTTGGGCTCCAGGAGGAATACTGTTGAGATGGATTTTCCTGTAGAATTTAATAGGAAGAGAAGGGTGGATTTGGGCATTGATTTTACATGTGGAGAAATTAGGGTTTTTTCCTGTAGAAGCAGTTTATAAATTATATTTACATTTATCAATATAAGTATATATTATTGTGCCTTCAGAATAGCTGAAAAATAACCATGCAGATATGGTATAAAATAACCATACAGTAATTGATAGGTAGAAATGGTCTTATTTTGTGTGTAGTTAAATTAAGTGGTACCACAACATGAATAACATAACTTACTGTTCCTACAAAAAGTCCTTGGTTTGCATGAGATATATTTATTGTTCACTTTCTTTTGTAATGTTTTCAGTCTTTTATGTGTCTTTGAATGCTTGACAAGAAGCGTATTCTATATAAGACCAACAGAAGCCCAAGAAAAGGGTAAAGCATCACTTGCTGTGACATTAAAAAGTAGAAGTGAGAGCAAACATGTCTTAGGTGTTTGTCTCTGTTTCTGAATATTTGCTGTACAAACTGGTTGTCATCCCATTGCATGGCCTTAGCTGGTGGGGTGTTTGTGCAGCTAAGGGCGTGTGTTTCCTTTGTCAAAGGCAGGTTAGGTTGCTTTTTTTCTTCTGTTTTTTAACTGTGTGGGTGCTGTATTTGATTGATGTGCAATCTGAAACATGCCACGTTTCAGCTGTAGCCTTATTTTCTATAATTTCTCAAATTTACCCATTCCTTTTTACTTCTCTTGAAGCTGTAGCCTTGATGGGTGCATGTATTTATCAGATTAGAGGAAAAATGGTTTGGACTTTGCTGCATACTTCAGACTCTTGTTCCAACAAGGGTTGTAGAGCTGCTTGAAACTGGTGTTTGGGAAAGCCGGCTGGTTTTGCTGCTTCCCAAACGGAGCGCATGCGAGGGGGGGAAGCGCCGGAGCGCTCCGTGTCTCGCAGAGGGTCTCCTGCGGGGCTTTTGGTCACCTTGACCTCTCCCTCCCTCACCAGCTTCTGAACTGAGCATCAGGCGGCTAGACTTGAGAATTGGGATTAGACCTGGAGCAGTCTCTTTTGACCGTCACTGTTCCCAGGATGACACCTGTGTGCGAGCCCTTTCCATCAGGCTTTTTCTTCCCCATCAAGTTGCAAGGATTTAATTCTCCGTGAGCCCCAAATGCCAAATCCCTCAGTGGCCAACATCTTCCCAAGGGCTCGGCAGAAGGGAGCTTTGCAGTCCTGCGGTGCCCTCTCGCCCTTCCCAGGATGTCCAGACAGGAAAGCCTGGATGAGGCGGCCTGGCCAGAGCGCGTTCGTGCTCCATCTGCCCTTGGAGAAGGGCCTGTGTGGCAGCCTGGTGGCTGCTCCTGAACTGGGGGAACATCAGGAAGGGGGAGAAGGCCCTGTTCCTGTGTGCAGAGGGTGTCAGGGCAGGGTGTTGTGTGGCATCGGCAGCTAGCCCTCACCTGGCCTGGGTGCGTTACTGGAACAAACGTAAGGAAACGGACACTAGCTCCCTGTTTATTACTTGACAGATGGGATTTTCAGGAGATGTGTTAGCCTTAGGTTTTTATCTCATATACATAATTGCTGATTATGGATTGATTTTAGGGAAAATCAGCATAGATTCTAATCTAGACAGAGCTCACTGCAGGATGACTCCTGTGTGATGCATATATGTATATATGCAGTTAATATATATGTGTGTGTGTGTATGAATGCTTATATATACACATATTTAGTGTAAAATACATATTTACATGTATACATGCACACACATAAGGGAATGTTATAACATTTGGATTTTTTAAATAATAACTTGTAATCTGAGGACATAGAAGAATGTCAGAGTTTCAATATCAGAATTGAAATTGGCTTGGCCAAAGAGAAGACGTACTGGCAGGATGTTTATTGGACACAATTCTAAGGGGAGACTCTGAGTATACAAGAATATACAAGGTTAACTTGTTCACAAGACAGGTGTCTGTCCGGTTAAGCATAAGATGGCTAGGTCTGAATTTCAAAATAAAAACACTGGATAACTTAGTTTTGTTCTGAATGAAATGTAAGCTTTTGGAAGAAATCTTGAAGAGCAGTAGTAGCCCACATTTAGGTTTCAATATTCACATTTTGCATGGAAGAAAAAATATTCGAGTAATGTATGTGTGTGCTATAAAAATACAAATATTTGCAGTAAACTCGTGCTGAAATGTGACTCAACACTGTTCTCCTTGCTTGTAGAAGGTCTTTATGTTTGAAAGGCACATACAAGCCTTGGGACCACTCAGGTTTTTACAGTAGGGAGGTTGGGTGGATACTTTATTTTTAATATATGCACCTGTCAATTGATCTTAGAAAGCATGTCCATTTAACTAGTCATGAATTTTAAATGGTTCACAACAGCATCTGTCTTCTAAAGATTACTCTGAGTTGGGAGAGCTTCCACCCAGATCTCCACTAGAACCAGTGTGTGAAGATGGCCCTTTTGGGCCTGTGAAGGAAGAAAGGCAGCGAACACCTCGGGAGCTCCGGGAGCTGTGGAAGAAAGCCATTATTCAGCAGATACTGCTGCTCAGGATGGAGAAGGAAAATCAGAAGTTACAAGGTTGGTGGAGTTCTTGATTGCATGTTACTGCAAAACAAATTCAGTTTTGGGATTTGCTGTAGGACCTTTGCAGTGAATAAGTCTCAGCATGGCTCTTTCTAAAACATATAGATAAGTAAGTTCAGTAGCATCTGGGTCAACTCTCCTTATTGTAAGCAATGATTTACAGTGTTTGTTTTTGATTAGCATTGCGTTGTTTTTTTTTTCTCCCCCTCTGGTGGTTTGCTGTGGGTTTTTGTTTTTGTCTGGTGCCTGGAAGTGCCGATAAGGAACTCAGCATTATCATCTTGCATGAAGTTCTTTTTACATTGTCATCTGTAAGTCAGTGCTTAAGATCACTAACAATGACAGATCACAGCAATGGTCTGTTCAGCGAGTGCTGAAGTTGCACTGAAGTTCTCAAGGAGCTGGCTGTAGGCTTCAGTCTAAGGCTGCCAACTATAGTCTAAAAACTATATAAGAAAGGTCTGTAATGACTTGCATTAGGGTAGAATAATGCTTTCTAAGTCATAAATGAATCCATTTTATAAATATTAAACAATATTAACTGGTGCATTCATGATACCATTTCCTAGCCTCAGAAAACAATTTGCAGAACAGACGTCTGAAACTTGACTATGAAGAAATCACACCATGCTTAAAAGATGTAACTTTGATTTGGGAAAAAATGTTGAGTACACCTGGAAGGTCAAAGATTAAATTTGATGTGGAAAAAATACATTCTGCTGTTGGGCAAGGTAAGCATAGCTTGTTATTTTGAGATGTTGAAATACATGTATGTTTTATTAGAAAAGGAAGCAGGTGATTTCTTAATCACTCCTTGTTGACCATTTTATTACTAGAGATGTTTCTCAACTTGCTAACTGAGGAAGTAAAATCATAAAGATCATAAATGATTACACATGTTGAAGTCACATTCCCTTTCATAAGAAGCTAATGTCATCTTTGAATGAAATTGCATAGAGAACCGAAGAGCGGGTCTACGCTGTTATCTGTATATTCTGTTCTAGCTTGCTTAGTGCCTGTATCCATGTCTACTGTTTGTATATACATTTGTAGAACCACCTTTTTCTGAAGGGAGCAAAGCATGTACTTACAAATACCACTGACAGCCCCACTCTTGTGAGGAAGACTGACCAGCTTTTCTCCCCACTGCATTATAAGTAACTTAACCTGAAGATGTTTTCTAATTTTTCTGAGAAATTATTACTGTAAGTTACTTGTGCCATGGCAGGATTCAAAGTTCTCATACCAAAATATCTGTTGGATGTAGCAAGTAGCAAAGGTGGCCATTCCAAGGAGATTTTCTAGCTTTATGCAAAGCGAATGTGTAAGGGAAGAAGCAAGAATTCACAACCAGCAATTATCTACTGTTTTAAATAACGAGCCTGCCTGTAGTTTATCATCCAAGTAAGTTGCCCTGGTTGACCATTTCTGATGACTAGACAGGTCTAGATTTCCTAACAGTACCAGGTGACCTAAGCACAGGTGTCTGCAAGAGAGGGAAAAGTTTGAACATGAGGAAAACTGCTTTTTTGCTGATAGTCTGGTGGTGCTGGCCTGCTTTGGGGTTCAAAATATAAGTTAAAGGACTTGGAGTAACACCAAAATTCCTCACTAATGAATTGCTAATAATAAACAAAAGTAGCCAGTGATTAGGGGAATATTTCATAGCTCTTGATGTTATGAATAGGCCTCTATAGAGACTGATTGTGGCAAACCAGAATTCTTAGAGTGAAGTGGTGCCAAATTTCATAGCTACAGAAATGAAAAATGTATTTAAATTAATTTCCATAGATTCTAAATTGGGAAGAAAACCAGAAAAATAAGCAAGGCAAAATTGCAAGAAATGTATATTTTTATATAAGAAATAGTAAACTAAATATTCTTATTGCACACGCAATGCAGCATACACAGATGAAGTTCATATGGGACCATTTCCCCTAAAAAGACTTGGGTTCATAGATTTGCAGCTATAAATATGCATTATTAAGCAAATTTTACCCTACACTGCACATGGAACCTCACAGAAACTAAAGGAATTTTAGAAATGTAACTGAAGACAAGAACCTGGGTCATTTGGTGGCTAAAGCAGCTCTTTGTCTCCTGGTTTCATGTTGGAGACTTTTCAGTAATCAAGTTTAAGCTGCCTGAAGTAATTTGCAGACACATTCTCTAGATACACTTGTGGTTTGGACTGAAGTATCAAACATTTCTGCTAACATTTGATTTTAAAGCAGTTGTCTGTAAATTATGATAGGCTAGTAAAAATAGAGATAAATTTTAGAAATAGATTAATATGCTTTTGTACTTACATAGGATGGCAAAATTGTCCATCTAAGTTGTATGCTTGAATTGATTTTTGTTTCCTTTATTATTGTAGTTATCCATATGTTAAATACTAAAAAAACAACTCTTCCAAAAGGACATTAAGTCATAAATTCCTTCAGATGCTGATATCTGATTCTATTGAATTGGTGACTAGACAGAACTTTGTTATAAATTAGCGTATTGATATTTTTATGTAGTTGATACATTATTATGCCAATTATAAGATAATTATACGTTATGCTGAAGGCAGTATGTTTGTAATAATAAGCTTTTCTTTATGTGAAACTCCACAGAGTTTCATGTATAGATACAAATGAAGGCTCCCCATGCATATGTGAAGTAGTTAAGTAGCTTCATCCCTTTTTAAAGAGAATTCAAACTGTTTTCAAGTGTTCCAAGTGTTTTAAACATGTGCCAGTCCTTCAGCAAGCCAGCAACAACAAGTAGCTGCGTTTGATACACTCCCTGGATCATACCTCATCCCTGCTTATACTGCTGATGCACCACATCCCAGCTTGCTAAGATTTACTTCCAGTAACAGTCACTGTGCTGTATGTGCAGTTGTTGTGTTGCAGTGCTTTATTATGTATTTTGGAATGGGAATATGGAAGAAAAGCCTTTCAGAGACAAGTATTGCAGTTCTACTGTCTTCTTGCAAGCTGCTGGAGTAGATGTGAAGTGCTAACCTTACATTTTGGGCAGCTCACCTCTCAAGAGGGGTGGCCTTTTTTCAGTGGTGGACAGTGATAGGACTAGAGGAAATGGCTTCAAACTGAAGCATCGGAAGTTCCACAGGAACTTAAGGAAGCATTTCTTCACTGTGAGGGTGACAAAGCACTGGAACCTCTTTAAAGATCTTTGGGGATCTTTAAAACCCGCTTGGCTGCAGCCCTGTGCCCCGTGCTCTAGGTGACCCTGCGTGAGCAGGGGGGTTGGACTCGATGACCTCTGAGGTCCCTTCCAACCTTGGGCATTCTATGATTCTATGAAATCTCCTGTTAAAATGCTCACATCTTTCACTGTTGGAAAAGAGTACAAGCAGTGTGGTTTGATCTGCCTCTGTAGTATTGGAGGTCCGTATCATCCCTATCTGTTAGGCAGTTCTTCAGCTTCCTCAATCTTATTGCCTCGGATTGTAGCTGGATCCTTGGTGTGAGCGGGAATTACTGTTTTAATGACTCTGCCTTCTCTCTCAGGCATACCTCGTCACCACCGTGGAGAGATTTGGAAGTTTTTGGCAGAGCAATACCATCTTAAACACCAGTTTCCATGCAAACAACCCCCAAAGGACACTCCGTATAAAGAGCTCCTGAAACAACTGACTTCCCAGCAACATGCAATACTTATTGACCTAGGTAAGTAAATCAGCATTCTGAGATTAAAATAAGAGGCACGCAGTTTTGTGCTGGATTAGGGAGCTGAACCAGTTCAGAGAATGCTCTGTGCTCCAGAACTGGCGAGGGGCAGAATGACCTTGTGGGGAGCAGGAAGCCCAGGGTCCAAGTTTAGCAGCTTATGTAGCAGGTGGAGGCCCGCGGGCTCAGGAAGCTGCTCCTGTGTCTGCCTGCTTCCACACACAGACACTTTCCCGTCTCAGCCATGTGCTCTGCTTGTAGGAACAAATGACTGCAAGTGTTGGCAAATCGGGAATTGTGTGTGGCTGTTTTATTGCAGAATGTCATTTAGGGAGGTGTACTTGCTAGCTCCTTAGCTTGGGGAAGGACTTGGGACCTATTTTTTCAGTAAGGTAAAGTAGGAAGCTGAAGAAACAGTGTGTTGCTGTGCAGTAGCAGACAGTGTAATTGCTAGAAGACAGCCAGGAGGAATTTGCATGTTTTGGCTTGTGTTGCTGCAGGCTATCAGAAGTGCTTACCTTAAATATATCTTTAAGGATCTTTCTGAAAGCATCTCAGACGTGGAATTGTGTAGGCTTGAGAGAAGAACCCACGTTCTTGCCACGTGTGGTGTGGAATCTACAAGCTTCCCCAAGTCAAGCTGCAGAGGTCGTGCTCATACAGAGCATGAGCCAAAGCCACAGCAGCTCATGCTCAACTGAGTGGGGACACCTGCCGTTAGTGGAGCTTCCCGAGACTCAGGACAGGGCTGTGTGTCTGGATGCCCTTTCCTGGTGCAGGCAGGAATCAGCAGTTGCACCAGGCTGGGAATTCGCCCTTGGGCACAGCTGGGATTTGCCCATGCCCTTCTGAAGGCGGCGGCACCCTGGGCTGTGCCAGCTCGGTGCCAGAGAGCAGGAATATCCAAAGCAGGGATATCCAAAGCAGGGATCACTTTATTGTGTTTTTTGCATTGAGAGCTAGCACGCTGTGTGGGAAAGAAGCAAGCCACAACTGCACGCAGGCGCCTCTGGTTGTTTCCTTTTGTGGCTCCACCTGCAAGCCCTGCTGTCAGGGGGGATCTCAGGTCCTAAGCACCACGTTTAGGTTTGTCATTAGGTGTTTGCTGGACCCAGCAGAGAATTGTTTTATTATTTTTGAAAAATAAAACAGTAACAATCTGGATTTCTTGAGGTAGCATATATTATTTTTTCTTGAGTAAAACCTACTATTACTACTGTTTTTATTTCTTTTTTTTTTATTATTACTCTTTTTAGGACTCCTTTTGCATTTTTATTCTAATTCAGCTTATAATTTTTCTCCTGCAAAAGGAACGTTGTGATATGAACGAGGCAACACAGGTCTACTTTTAGACTATATCGCTACAACCTGCAGCTCAGGCAGAGCAATCTTTGCCAAGGGAAACAATCTCCCTTCTATTCTGGAAGCCAAAAACGCTGCTTTTGTAGCACTGAGGTCTTTGAGAGGCTGGTGGGGGCAGACCTGGCGGCAGCTGAAGGCTGGAGCCCAGTGTGATGGGTGAACCGGGATGCAGAAGGGCCCGGCCCCTGGCTTTGTCTTTCTGAAACAGGAGCTCTGCTGTTATCTGGCAGCACAGCAGCATTCCAGGAGCTGCAGGGTGGGGTGGTATTTAACAAGTGGGCAACTGAAAAACAAGCTCTAGTTAATACTAGAACAAAAGATGTATTCAAATTTCCTCTCAGTTCATGTAGTTTTGTAAGGGGAAATCTGATGGGGGAGGGCTTTTTTTCCCCCTTGGATAAGAAAATGTTCACTTTTAAAATATTTTCTAAACCATCAAACTTTTAATGTATCTGTTCCATATAAGTCACAGAGAAATGCACACACATATATGTATAACTAAACAGTTCTAGAGATACTGTATGTGGACTTCAAACAAAAAAGGCAAATTGTGCTTTAAGTCACAGAGTAAATTCTGAGAGTCAGTCTGGTTGTGTAAGTTATGTATTTAGACTGATTCATTTTAAGGGCAAATTGATCCCAGTGCTCTGTTTATTGATCCCAGTTTAGAGATGAGCCAGCATGAGGTGCAGATCGTCCCCTTCTAGATCTGCAGAGGTAGAAATGGTGCTGTTGGGCTCCTGCAGCTCTGCAGTTGACACAAAGTTTACTTTAGGCTGAGATTTAGAGAGTTGTGGGGAATAGATCGGGTAGCCTGTTGCCACGCTGAGTAAATTTTGCTCCCACAGCTGTCACCCACACCTCCCCGAGCAACAGGGCAGAGAAACCAGCTCCACAAAAGGGAGCTTTCTGCCAAGTTAGCAAGCTGAATCAGCTCATGAAGAAGTCCAGATTTTGCTGTGCAGGAAAGGTGGAGGGACCAGGGCAGGGAGGGAAGGAGCCAAGGACACAGTTGGTGGAAGGAAAGACCAGAAGAAAAGAGAAAGGGAATGAGCCCTGGCCCGAAGAACTCATGTTCAGAATCTTTATTTGGATCTTGGTACTGCCCAAGAGCCAACGCTGGGGAGAAGGGGGCTGGGTGAGGCAGGAGCCCTGTGTCCTGGCTTGCACTGCCTGAGGCAGCCACCCCACACCTCGCAGCAAGCTGGGCAAGGTCCCGTGCTAAGAACCAGTCACTCTGCTGTTCCCAGCAGCAGCCTTCCCCTCGCAGAGCCTGGCTTCTCTCCTAATTGCTAAATTTACTTTGAAACTGGTGCAACAAAAGCGATTACAGTCTGTGAAGTATAAGCATTTGTAGTTTTGTACTGATAATTTTCGTATGCTCAAAAAAAGTCCAGTTTCATAACAGTGCAAGAGTGTGTTTTGTTTATGTTTTCAGTTTTAATTGCTAAGCTCTGCTATTTTCACAGGACGGACATTTCCAACACATCCATACTTCTCAGCACAGCTGGGAGCGGGGCAGCTGTCACTCTACAATATTTTGAAGGCCTATTCCCTCTTGGACCAGGAAGTAGGATATTGCCAGGGCCTTAGCTTTGTAGCAGGCGTTTTACTACTTCATATGAGTGAAGAAGATGCTTTTAAAATGCTGAAGTTTCTCATGTTTGACATGGGTCTGAGAAAACAGTATCGTCCTGACATGACTATTTTACAGGTATGGTTCCATTTTTCTAGTAACAGGATGCTAATGCTAAATATCAATAATGCAATACAAATAGAGTTGTCAAAATATGCACTTCAACTTACATTCAGTAAGTCAAAAATGAAGAGGATAATCTGCAAAAAGAATGGTTTGTCTTAAATGCATTAATTTCAAATGAAAAGGGGCTACTGGGCAAACGAGGAAAACTGTGAATAGCAAGAATCCTGCTCTATGTTGTATGAGGATCAAGTGACCCTGCAGATGTACGTGTTGCAGGCTCTTAGGTGGCCTATCCTGGGTCTCTGAAATGGATCTTGAATCTTTTTTTCTTTACAGAAGTCAGCCTGAATATTAATTGATAGGTATCTTGCACTGTTTTTAGTAAGAGTACAAAGCACTGACTGTGCTACTCTGACTGTTAAAACCTATTTACTTTTAGTCTCTATTCCTCATCCATGCAGATCCAGATGTATCAACTGTCTAGACTTCTTCATGACTACCATCGAGATCTCTACAACCACCTAGAGGAACATGAGATTGGCCCCAGTCTCTATGCTGCTCCCTGGTTTCTCACCATGTTTGCCTCCCAGTTTCCCCTCGGATTTGTGGCCAGAGTATTTGGTAATTCCTTATAAAACTTCCACCTTTTATTTTAGAAACTTAATATGCAAACTTCTGCTATCAGACACACAGGAGAAATGTTCAGCATACACTGTTGATGAGTAGAAGAAAAACAAGAAAAAGCATCCTATAGAAAGCTTCATGTTTGCAGGAAAATGGAAAGAGAGGGAAGGAGAGCAAGGGAGGCTTGTGAACTGTCATGCCTTTTTCATCTTCATTGTTATCTTTTTGTACCCTTTAGCAGTTCTGAGAAGTGTGTGCCGTGAAGGCAATGTAGAAACCTTAACACCTGGAGTTGGTTAACTTTGAGCTGAAAAGAAATGCGACCAAAGAACCATCTGAGAAACAAATCCATTTACTCTATTAAATCACTGCCTCAAACAGTGTCAGGGGAAAATGATTTTGAGAATTATGTTTCTAAAACATGTACATGCACACACTTCTGTTTGATCAGTACTCTCCAGAGGCACTGGGATTTTAAAACAGTGTTTGCTACCTTTGCATTTTTATTCTGAAGGATAATCTCTTCACTTTCTGGAAACTGAAAAATGATTGGAAATATGTGATCTGTAAGTTCCAAGGTCATCTATTCTAACATTTTTTCTGAATCTGCAGAAATCACGTTCTCTCTCTCTCTCTCTCTCTTTAATTATTAAAATCTTATTATGAGTTTACCTCAATGCTGTCTTTTGCGTGCATATAAAAATTTTCTGTATTTTGGTTTTCCTGTGTGGTACTGGACCTTCCATTGGATGATGGAGCACGATGAATTGGAGCTCTCTCCCTACTTCCTGTCTTCAAATAGAAAACTCTTGGCATCATCTTAATTCTTATTTCAGAAATTTAGAGAGACAATGATTTATTAGGGCATTAATATTAACATTTTCTTAGCTTCTAAAATTAATGGTCTTATCTACCACAAGAACCAAAATACATAGAGAAAGAGATTCCAAGAAGACAATCAGTTTTCTTTCAAATATTCAGAATAATTTGTAGCATTGTACATGTTAATAAGAGTCTTTGGGCTTTTGACTCCAGTGAGATATATGAGAAAGTGCTTTGTGTATCCAGTATACTTGGATTTCTGCCTTAGTACACTGATTAGTGACAGTGGAGGATTTTAGAGCTTTAAAAACCAAAGGTTTTAGATCAAAATAGAGAGCATAGCTACATCCATGATCTCCGCAGAACTCATTTTAGGTCAGCAAGAGAAGAGCATGTGTGACTGGAGCAATCACTTCTGATCTCTGTCAAAATTTACTGTGAGCAACACTTGCAGCTTTTTGATGTTTCAAAGTATTCAAAGTTTCAAAGATCCTTCAGAACAGTGCTTACTGGAAGTAAGCAATTAGATGAGAACATGAACTGTAATTCTTTTACATTCAAGGAGTAGATTCCACCCATGGTGACGGCTCTGAAGCTAGAGCAGCGAACCAAAACAAGCCCTCGAACCTGCAGAAGGCTGGAGGTGTCACCCTGCGGGGCTGTGGTTTGCAGAGCTGCAGGTGTCACCCTGTGAGGCTGTGGTTTGCAGTGCTGCAGGAGGTGCCGTGAGCCAAGCAGTCCTGACCCACCTGCTGCTGTGTTTTTGCACACTGTGGCATGTGCATTTTTACTGCTCACTTGTTAGAACTTGCGAGGAAAAAATGTTGTCCTGAGTAACACGAGCCCAGGTTACTTGTGTACAGGCTACTAAGACAAACAGAATGTGCTGCCATCCTCTATCTGCCACGTGAACTCTTTGATGTCTTAAGCCATATTATTGTAAAATAATACAGCTATTACTGAACACCTCCTTTAGATTTCTATAGAGCTTGCTGGTTTTCATGTATTTTTAAAAATTTTTACATGCAAGCACTATATAAAAGCAGTAGACTATAAAGAAGTTAACCAGAAGACTTTGTTGTGAAGCAAATAGCAAATCAGAAATAAGCAAAAAAAGAAGTACATTGTACTTCTTAATTACCTGTCCAAGCTTTCAGCACTTCTCAGTTGAATCTAATGAAAATACAGGATGACAAAGAACTGGTATTAAATACTTAGTATTAAATACTTTAATACTTTATATATATATATAAATACTTTATATATATATATATATATATATATATATATATAAATACTTTAAATACTTATTTACTTAGTAGTGGAGGGGACTTGGTAGGATAACGTTTATTTGGTTGCAAGATACACATAAAACTTGACTTGAAATCCGCTGGGCTGCCATATAAAATTTAGAAAAAAGAATATGTTCTCTTCTTCTTTTTCACCTCCATCAATACCTTTTTATATTCACCAAATAGGTTTGCCCATAGTAAGCCCCTAAAACAAACAATGAGTAGAGTAACAGGAAAGTCAAAGCTGCTGCTTTTGGACAGGTGGATTTGAACAGTATTCTTCCGTGCTGACATCTATATCTCACTAAATAGCTTTAATTGATTATGCCAGTTAAGTGTACTATTCAAACTTGAGTTAATTAGTAATAATCCTGATGCTCAGTGATTTTGAGAGACATAAAAGACCGTAAGAGAAGTACCTGCTCAGCAGAGCATCTCTCTAGCCCCTTGTTCTATCCTGTAAGAAGTTGTTATCCTTGGACTTCTTATTGTTTTAATATCCTTGACAAAGATTTGCTTGCTTAATCTACTTTGGTTTCTGTTTTCACAGATATGCTGTTCCTTCAAGGGTCCGAGGCTATATTTAAAGTTGCCTTAAGCCTTTTGGGAAGCCACAAGCCCTTGATTCTACAACATGAGAACCTAGAAACTATAGTTGATTTTATTAAAAGCACTCTCCCAAACTTGGGTTTGGTACAGATGGAAAAGACCATTAGTCAGGTATGAAATCATCTGAACATATGGGTAGTAGCTGAAGAAATGACACATTTCTTAATAAAAGCTATTTGTTGATGGAAGCACCATAACAGATTGAAGTGTATTGCGTTGTTTCCGTTTGAGAAGGATTCTGATTTTGTAGTTTTAAAAATGTTGGATTTTGGGGGGAAGCCCATGGCTTGTATAGTGCACCTCTATTCCAGCATGTCAATTTGCAGAGTCTTCAATGGCAATTGCAGTTTATGTTTTAAAGTATGTGTAATGTATAGTATGTGAAAATGAACATGTAATATGTAATATTGACAAGAAGTTTTAGTCCATGTGCAATAATACATGCCATAAGACAAGAATCACACAGATCATTGCAGTTAAGGGCTGCCTGACTGTTTTAATTGGAAGATCCAGCTGTAATGTCTAATTTGCAACAGTCTAATAGAAGACTTTTTCCAAAGGCTTCTTGTGGGCTGCAGTAGCAGGGGCTGCACTGTGCATATTGCAGACGTCTCCCACTCACCCCAGGCTGAAAGATCTGGAGAAGGAAAGGCAGTGGCAGCGCCAAATGCCTCAGCCTTGTGCGGGATTCCCGTCTGTTCCCATTCCAGCAGGCTGGTACCTAGTACTGCCTGAAGAAGGGAGAGTTGGAGAGTGTGTGGAAGGGGAAGGAGTAGACGTTTGGAAAGGGTAAAGGAGGAGCAGGTTGTCAACCAGGCACCCAGCCCTGTGCGTGCAGCTCTGAAGAGACTTGCAGTGCTTAGGCAAGCTGCAGAGAGCTCCTGGCTTTGAGCAGAAGGAAGGAGAGATTTGGAGCAGCTCTATCCAACAGCTCTGAGCTCAAGCAGGGCAGATGGAAGTGAGTTGAAGGCAGAGCAGTCCCTCTGCTTTGATCAGGGTGACCTTTGAAAGGAGCATCCATTTGACCAGCCTATTTGTTTGACCATTGTGTTTGGCCATCAGTTGGTCGTCGTGCCCCTCCTGCAGCCCGGCCTGTGGTTTATGTGCGGTAACCTGCCTTCAGTTCGTTGGCTTTCAGGTTAAGCTTTTGGTTGGCCTCGTGTTCCCCCCTTTCAGATTTGGTACCCTGGTTATGACAGCAGGGGTTTCCCTTCTTCACAAGAGCGCGGATGAGGCTGGAAATGGCAGAAGCCACAAGAGGAAGTACCCAAATTTGCCCTGCAGAATTGAACTACCTGTTTTTGTTTTTTTTCCTTTGAATTCTGCCAGTGTGTGTTCTCCGGAGATGCCTGCATTATACAGATCATACAGAACACGGAGTTCTGTATCTGTGGCCAAAACCAAATTAAAAATGTGTTCCAGCCTTTCATGTTCAGGTGCTCAGTGTGTGCACTCATGTTGCCATATCATCTGCCTGGGAGAAATTTTAATAGTATATGCAATAGGTATCTAAGATGCCTCCCTTGTTTCACAAACTCAGTGTTTCCTTAGCTTCACCCCACAATTAAAGCTGTGTAGGTGAAAATAACTCAATAAAATGGAAAGTACTTCTTGTTACTTCAGATATTTTTGACTTATTCCCAAGAGAAATATAGTACAAGATGTTTAAAAATGAAGGGTAGCCTCTTAACTTTTGTTCCTGGGCTGTTTTTTGGGTGTATTTTTAAGTCAGTCTGAATTTTGTTTTCCACTAGGCTCTGTGACTGGCATCTTGTCTTTTCCATTTAGCAGCTGCTTCAGTGTTTTCAAAGGAGCTAACTTGCTCAAGGACCTTTAGAATTATACTTCCTAGCACTGACTTTTTCCTAGATAATTTGAAATCAGATGTTATCCAGAACCAGAGTAAGGAAAAATACAGGAGCAGTTCTTGCCTTTGGGTCTTTCCCTCTACCTCACTTTATTTATCCATTTTTAAAATATAGGGCTTAATACTCGTCTATAAGATTGAGCACGGAGTTCTGTGATTCATAGCTAACAATAATAGGAATCTGCTTTGACTTTACATAATGTTTCTGTTAAGTCTATTGGAGTGAGGATTTTGTTTGCTTTCTTTCAGTGTCCAGGAGTAATGTAGAATAATAAATGTTTACTTACTGTTTTCATCTGAAACTTTGACTTAACTGTGCTACTGTAAGTCTTACAGTTGTAAGTGTGGCAGAGGCTTGGAATGCACTTCAGAAGTGACATGTAATTCTGGATAGATCTAAGAGATCTTGTGCCAACATGAGCTGTCTTGCATTGACAATCTTAAAAAAAAAAAAAAAAAAAAAAAAAAATCACAACTACCCAAATACAAACAAAGGTTTGTGGTTTTTCCCAAAGTCAGATGTCAGATCAGTGGGAAGGTTTTAAACAGAATCTAGATCTGGATCTCATCATAGATGCAGATCTCTACTGCCTAAATCTTACCATTTACAGAATGGGAAAGAAATACCATCAATTAATCCGTTTTTGTACACAGAAGATTAGATACCCCTGTTTAGATCCATAGGCTTAAAGACATTGAGCTATTTGTTTGATCTGCATAGCACCTAATACTATTTTTATATGCAACAGGTGTTTGAAATGGATATTGCCAAGCAGTTGCAAGCTTATGAAGTTGAATACCATGTGCTTCAGGATGAGCTTATAGATTCATCTTTAAATGACAATCAGAGACTGGATAAATTAGAAAAGGCAAACAGTAGCTTGCGCAAACAGAACTTTGATCTCCTGGAAGAACTGCAGGTACAATTTATGCTTCGTAATTAACATTGTAGTTTATCCATCTTTTCAGAAAAGACTGCCTTTAAGATCTGAGAGAGACTGGTGTTTGACCCAATGACTTTCAGCTTTGATGCTTGTGATTTGATTTAGCACTTTGGAAGTTTTGGAGCAGAAGAAATGCACAGAGAGGGGTGGATAGAGCATATGCTCGCAGTTAGTGAGAAGTTTATTCATCAAGCTGTCTCTCCTCTTTTAAGTAAAATAACCGTAGGCTATGACTAAAAATACTCTTAAGTGCTTTCTTGACTTCATTATTACACATTCAGTCAGTGCGTTATTAGGGCAGAGACACGAGCCTGCCACAAATGGAAAAGCTAATGCCAGTGTGGCAAATATCATCTACAGGACACATTATCTAGAAAGACATGCTCCTTCTTGCAACATTAAAAAAAAAAAAAAAAAAAAACCCAAAAACACTATAATCAAACTTGCTTAGAAACTGGAATAATCACCACTATGTTCTCTTTGCCTGTTCAGTCTGTAGTTGTCTCAATGTCTAATTTAAAACTTGCCTTACAGGGTATGTTGTCAGGAAAGCCAAGACCATCCCATGCTGTAGCCTTTAGACATTATGCGGTGTTGTTATGCAGAAACTTTCACGCAGGTCACTGCATCCATCAGAATACTCAGCCACAGGACTCATATTGGAATTGGAATGAACTGACACTTTGCTTTACCATGCAGTAGAATGTACATGCGTACAGCCTTTTAAATGAGAATGAGGAATATGCAGTAACTGGAATTTTCAAGATGTGTTGTGCCTTTATATGTTAGACCAAATCACCTTCTTCCCCTTTCACACCAAGTTTACAGCTGCTGGACTCGAAGTTGGCACAGCAGAGTAGGTTGTCTTTGCTTTGCAAAGCACCTGGAATTTAACACACACTGCTGGTCAAAAGTAGCCTCCCCACTGTCCCATGCAGAAGGTTATTTTAACCTTCAGCTTGCGTCAGAAAACTTGTAATTTTTGCCACAGGAACCAAGAATTTCTGTACTCTAATGTCTATAGAACATAGTTTTTTAATAAGTAAAATCTTGTGCTAAATAAAAATGTGAATAAAAGACTTCACCTAGTATACTTAAGAATTCAGAATGTAATTCACCAACTTAATAACTCTCTAATTTGATCTACTTTGCATTATAGCATTAAGTTCAATTATGTGAAACAAAGCAATTAAGTTGAGATAGGAAGGTTTCTCATTATGAGCAGTGCCACAGCAGCAGACTAAAAGACACAGGTCTAATAACATTCATACTTGTATTTACCTTGCCAGTTTAGCATTATCTTGGAACGTCTATTTTAGATGTATTAATGTGTCTCAAAAATATTTTAGACTGGTTCCAGTTCTTAATGAATTTTTCCTTTCTCTCTTTGTTGAAGGTGGCTAATGGAAAGATCCAAAACCTGGAGGCCACAGTAGAGCTTTTACTGACCAATGAAGGCAAATTGAAGCAGTCAATTCTCACTCTTGAGCAGGAGCGAGAAGCTTTACTGAACACAGTGGAAAAGCTGCAGAAAAAGATGAGTGATGCAGATGGGAAACCTGTACTGATTAGGCAAGAGCACATGGATGCTGACTGACAGCTGCACTTGTCATGGAGCAGACAAGCTGAGCAAAGAACCAAGGGAAGAACTGAGGCTTTTTGTGCTGATACCCCGGAGACATGACATTGTCATCTTCACTGTTACACGCCTTCCTGTAGCAAAGCAAGGTATGGGCATGGTGACTGCCCACACTGGGAGGCTAGTTCCTTGGGGAGGAGGAGGCTCTTTCTCGTTAGGGTGTAGAAAAGCCATGAACGGTAAGATGCCACATGATCATAATGGGCAGGAGAAAAGTCTTTTTCAGCAAATAGCACGTGCAGTCACACACAGTACACCGTAAAGCTGTCCTGGATTCTTCCATAAGTGCTTCTAAACCTAAGTGCTTTGTGTTCGTTACATATTTTGTGTTTTGTACGTAGATCAACCCCATGTTAAACAGGACATCCTTTAGAAGGTCGAGTGAAGAGCTTTGAGGGACGACTTCCTCAGTGTAGATACCCAGCGGTGGCATTTGCTAAGAGGTTTGTGATTGGACTCAAGATATTTCTGGCAGTGTAAAAGCCCTGAAGCTTTGCTGGGTTTTGTTAACTGTGTTGTTTAGCCCTCAGATAACTGCTTCCCAGTGCTTTAAGGTGTCACTCTGCTGGACTCCAGAGAGCTGGACTTCATCATATGTGACTGTGCTTAACTGGGGAGCTGCCACATGTTTTTATAAGTACACTGTTCTACTACATTTTTGTTCGACATTCACTGGTTTAAAGTATTTCTGGTTGGCATTATCTGATACACATACTGTATAAAGTAACTGTATTATGCTCAGCAAAATGCACTGATATTAGCTTGATGAAGTCTGTGACTCTTGCAACATCATCCAAGGATTTGTACTCAAACCCTTCAAGTATCGTTTTATTTATTGCTCATCTGCTGTGTGATGTAAGACATCCTTTTGCTGGGAAGTTAATGCCCTGATCCTTTTTTTTTCCCTTCATTTGGTACTCTGTGCCCACTCCCTCTCTGGGAAATGTCACTCCTAAAGACTCTTTTTTGAAGTGGTAAAGGCATTTCAAAAGCTTGATGTTGTGCCAGGTATTCTTAAACTGCTTTATAAGGGATTACAATGCAACTTTTGAGTAGGATTACATATGTAAAAACAATCTCACTTTCCTTAATACTATGATAGTTATTTTCAGGCCAGTTAAAGCACCGCTGCTACAAGTGCAATAATATCCCTGCATATTCAGTTTTGGGGGTTTGCTTCAGAATTAGACTAAACAGTGCCACAGTTTTGTTTTTAATCCCCCAGCACAGTGTTAATAGTGTTACTGTGGTGGAGATTCATCCAGATGTGTTTTTTCCTATTTTTTTTTTTAATTTTATTTTTAATTTCAAAGCACAGTTTTTATTGTCTGACTGACAGTGTAGGAAAGGTTTTATTTTGCTTTTTCCCCTCTTCATGCAAATCCCTCTGACACATTTTGGTTGTAGTTTAATAAGAGAACTGTAACATTCAGCAGCTGTGCAGAGCAAATACTGTCATGTAGGCCAGAAGCTAAAAAGAGAGTTTACTCTTCAGTTTCCTAAGAGTTTTGTTTGACTTCTGTCAAGAACCATGCCTGGTTTTTGCACATCCACTCTGTATTTACTTAATACTGAAATTCCAGATAAATAAATTGTTATTAATCCATTTACCTTTTAGGGCTCTTTTTTTTTTCTTTTTTTCCTTTTTTTTTCGGAAAACCATATTGAAGCTTGTGCTTCATGTTTAAAATATTGTCATAATGGACCTCGCATTGTTAGAACTCCATAATATTGTATAATATGGCACCTTAGTGCTATAATCCATACACTGACTTTTTAAACAAAAAGAGCAATAAAAACAATCTAAGCCTACATCTATGCATTTATGTTTTTCATCTTTTTATATTTGAAAACAAAAGCGTAGTTGTTGGGGTGACAGTTCAAACCTTGTGAAATGTTTCCTGAAACAGCAGCAGATTTCCGTGGTGACTATTAATGAAAACTCTCAGACCTCAGGCTCTCCTAAACCTGCTTTGGATCCAGCTGCAAGCGCATCTGTAGATGCTGGCTGAGGTGACCTACATTCTGCGTGACTGCAGGAGGGCATTTCTTCTTGGCCTGTGACTTCTCTCTGAGTGTAAGTGGAGGATTACCTCTAGTCCAAAGCCATTTATCAAGAATCTGTATAATTCTAGAAGTAGATGTGAACCAAAAAAAACCCTTTCCTTAAAACATACAAATGTTTTTGTTGCATAACTAACATGAAAATATAGATGTAATTGTTTCATTGTACTAGAGATGAATTTCCTATGGGTAAACCTGTGCATGTGCAAATTAATAAGATTAGTTAAAGATGCAAACACCAGGCAAAGTAAGTCTAGTAGACCAGAGTCTGAATGTTAATGAAATAGCTCCTTTAAGACTTCCTGCTGCCTAAATTGAAGCAGATGTTGCTTTGTGTTTTTTTCTTTTATCATCATATGCTCTTTTTTATTCTTTTTCTTTTTTTTTTTTTTATCATTAAGCCTTTCCAGTTCAAGAAGCCAAAATGGAAGATTGGAGGAAGCCAGTATCACCCAGTTCTTAACTTTAGAACTAAAGCTTGGGACATTTCCCTTCGTGTTTTCTTGCATTGGATCTTTTCTTGCGTTGGTATCTTAGAACCTGTGGTGGAGCAGAGCACTGAAATCTTTTGAGTTCAAGGCCGCCTTCAGCTCCCGGCTCACTTTAGCTGTCAGAGCAGCACCTGCCCTTGCTGCTCCCTGCCATACAGCCCTTTAGCATTGCTCAAGTGATTTCGTGCTGCTCCTCAGCCAACATGTCTGTATTGCCTCTGATTCCAGTGCTAGGCTGGTCAGAGCTTGTTTGGATGTCTCTGCAGGCCGCTGTGCTAGTGAGCAGACAAACCAGTTGTTTTAGAGCTTGCTTTGGGGCCTCTAACACAATGGTCACACTGTGTAGAAGTGCCCTTATTAGTCCCCCATCTACTTCAAAATACTCCAGTCGTGTTGTTTTCCACTTCAAAGAGTGCCAGATTCGTGTACTGGGTTGGTGGCACCCAAAAGTGTCTGCACTGAAAAGAATACACTTTGTCTGAAGCTGGATGTGTGCCACCTTTGTGTGAGGCCCGAGGCACCTTAGAGCACCATGCAGTATTTACACCACATCACGCCCTGGGATGTGAAATAATTCTTCCTTTAAGAGCGCTTTACTGGAGCAGGTACGTGGGAGGAGGAATGCTGGCGGCCAAGGTAACCGGCGGGAGAGCAATCCGGCATCGCCCTGCAAGGAGCACGTGTGGGTTACCCCACCTACCTTTGCATAACCCGAATCAGGGCGGATCACTCGGCACTCCTTTGCTCGTGCAGCTGCCAGAAAGTGTGCCTTTCGTCTCTACCAACCTGAGGCTGCAAGAAGGCAGTACCTCAAAGTGGGCTTTTTCAGCAAATCAATGAATGCTTTGTTATTCAGAATACTCTTTCTTACTCCTTTGTTTAAGTGTTTCTCTTTTGTAGCTATTTACACTGAATGTTTCTAGTTTATTTGTAAAACTTCTAAATTGTAGATGAGGAAGAAGAAAAGAAGCAACTTACAGAGGGTAGAGATCATTAAAATGGGTTTTCTGAAAGAGTGTGAATTAGCCTTTCCCATACCCTCAATCTTTCTTATATGGTGTTTCACAACTCCAAAGAGATTCTGGGGAACTTTATTCATGGATTGTCTAAAGGGTTGCATTTCACAAGTAGAAACTGCTGCCTCAGAAGGAGATGGAAAACAGGATTATAGTCTTGGAGTAAGATGACATAGGAAGACTTTCTGACAAGGGTCATAAAAGACCTAAATTCAACTGGATGCCTAATTCTCTCTTTTTTTCTTTATCACTGTTCCATGGTTTTTATTTTTTTTTTTCCATTAGCATTTTAGAGTACACTATTTGGCTAGAAGGGTGATATAAATGCAGTTTTCTTCCTGCAGCTAGAAACAGAAAGCACAATTGATGATCTGCCTGTTATTCTCTTGCTAATGAGACAGCAGGTTTTCATTTCCTACTGGTCATTTGCAAGTCAAGCTATCAAGATGGTCATCAGGAAAAAAGAATTTTCTTGCTACCATTTGGCTCAAAGTGTTTGCTTTAACTGCTTACCTAGCTAACATTTAAGAAATCTTTCTCTGTTTCCAGGTTCCATTTTCTCAGATTTTATTTTCATAAGCCTTATAGGATGATGGAATACCTAACTCTCCCATGTAGAGTCTTTTCTCCATATTTCCAGCATCTGATATTTCTACTTTGGATGTTTTCTCTGTAGACTGTGAAAGATCTTGCAATGTAAAAATGCTTGGAGTGGCCAAGGCAGTAGTTGACCCAAAGAAAGTTCCTTGCACGTATGACTTGAGCTGAGCAGTTGGAGAAGTTGACCCCTGGTTGGTCTTTAGTGCTCATGGAGCTATAGCTACTGGGTGGAATAGTGTCCAGGATGTGTGTGTCTTCCCAGCTCACTGTTTGTACTCTTCTGTTAGGACATCTGATCACAAAAATTTGATCTCAAAACTAAACTAAATGAATTGATCTCAAAACAAGCGAAATGAATTGCCAGGTGGTGGTAGTATTTAACGGCCTGCTGTACTCATCACGTGTGGTACTTCCGGTAACAGGAGTGGCCATTTGAGTGCCTAGGGACAGGTAACAGATACGTAAAGGAGTAGCAAGCCTTGCAGTTGAGAAAGCAGCATTATAATGACCAGTATGCAAGTGAGGAAAAATTACAAAGCATTTGGAGTCTATTCAGTACAAGAAACTAATTGAAAAGGTGGTTAATAAGCACTGAGTTGCCTTTGAGAGGAGGAATTGCTAAACTGCTTATTGAAAATGAAAAGCAATGGGCTGGCAAGATGATAATATGTAGGGCTCACCGTGATAACATTTTGAGGCCCAAATCTCTGCAGTGGGATGCCTAACATATCAAAAAGAGGTGCGAGTGAAAATACCCATGGACATGGGAAGGAATGTGAATGAGCACCATGAAACAGTCTGGATCAGCTCCTGGAAGAACGGCAGGGACTTTGCAGTTCGTGAAGTGATTACACAGCGACAGACCTCAATGTAGTCAAGGTTCTCAGATTAACAAAATCTTCCATTTTTTCAAACTGTGGAGCAGGTCAGCTAAGGCTTGATTGCATAACTTAGCCCTTTGGTCTTGAAAGGGATTTTTTTCCTCCTAGAATGGAAAGTAAAGGACAACTTTGTAATAGGAAGCTACCTTCAAACAGCAGCACATCTCCAGGACATGGTGACTTCTTCAGGATGCTGAAGCAAGCTTTGAAAACCGCTTTGATTTCAATAATATTTAGCAACCAATACTGTCTCAATACTTAAGTAACAACTTCTAGCTATGGACACTATTACAATGTTTAACTTCACCAAATCTGAAATGAAGGCAACCAATGGTTCTGGACTAAAAATGCAAGACCCCGCTTGATTTTGTTTTTGTCCTTGTTGATACCAGTTAATCACACTTGCAACCCACCTCACAATTAGCAATGAGAAAAAATTGCTCATTAAATTTGGATTTATTTTTGGCAGATAAATTCTGTGCCCTTAGCTTTATTTTATGGTATTTATTTTATGGTATTAACCTGACTACATCAGCAGATAAAGATTGCTTTAATGCACTGAAGGTGGAAAATTAAAAGGAGAGAGGACAGAAAGAAGTGGACATCTCATCCTGCCTCTGCAGATCTATAATTCGCAGAAACTGCGGATGGCTCACAGCTCCTCTAGGATTTACAGGGACTGCTTGGTGCAGCCCTGTATAACTACTGACTTCTGTATTATGGTATGCTTGTTTAGAAGTGCTGGCTGGCCTGAAAGATGCCACGAGAAGACATTGTTCATACTGTGGTAGCTGTCAGGTTCTGTATGTAGGAAAAACATAGTCTACGCTAGCCTAAAAGAATCATGGATAAATGCCATGTACTAACCTCATGCCATCTTTAGGTATCCAGAATAATTAACACTTTTTTAAAAAATGCAAGGTTTTACATTCTCTCATAATTTGTTCTAAGCATCTTCATTCTAGAAAGGAGTATTTTTCATAAATAGGTTATTAAATAGGTTGAAAATAAAGTGAAAATTACTTAAATTGTGAACAAATTAAGGAATATATATTTGGACATTTGAGTGGATCCACGCTAATTATTATTTGCTGAGTCTTTGTCTGTGTCCCAAATACAGTAAGTCTTATTTCCTCTTTTTTAAAAAATTCATGCCTCAACAAAGGAAAAATACATTGTCAGCCTTTGCTTGAAAAAGAAGTAGGAAGTTCTATGGATAAAGCAACATAAGCACATGTAAGAGAAGGAGGAAATGAGAGTTCAGAAACAAAGAGCTGACAGCAGAGATTTGTCCAAACCCTTTGTGTGACCTCCAGAGATCCCAGCGAACAACATGCAGCGTCTCACTGTTGTGTGGCCTACAAATTCCAGGAATATTTAATCACAGCAATGTGATTTCAGAGGAAAGGTCATGGAAGGGCTGTTGGAGGGAAAGTGTGCTATATCCCTCTCTCACTAACAGCTTTATCTTGCAACCCATAAACGGGATGTACGTGTAACAAAAACACAAGGCATGTTGTCGGCGAGCTCCTTTGTGTTTCAGTTTGTCATGATGAAATGCCAGCGAGTCAAGATGAAAAGTGTAGTCACTGGCTACTTCAGAGAGTTGGGGTGAGAGGGTCACCAGATCACCTGCTTCACCTGCTCTTGTGTGGACTCCAATCCTGTGTGCTTTGCTGAAGTGTATCTGGAGAAACAATAGGTTTGGTCCAGAAGCCTCAAGAGATGATGAAGTTGCCCTTTCAATGGCAGTTTGATCT